GGGGCCATTACTCTTGATGGAATGACCCCATTACCAGATATGATGAACCTTTGTGTATCAATTTTTGGAGAACATGAGGAATACGCATGCTGTTGCACTCAATTTCTTTTCCTTAGGGCTGTGGTTGGGCACAGCTAAAACAAAATGCTGGGTTTCATAGGGCTGCTGTTCTGTTTGTCACTGAAAGAAAAGGATACGTTATTGAAATTCATCAGTTTTCTGGTGATGAAATAGGAAGTTATACATAACAAGTCAACAGAAACGGAGGTTAATAAGTTTAATGTGTAACTTTTAAAAGTGGTTCACAGAACCAGTACAATGATAGAAGAAAATGATATAGTGTAACAAATACAAACGCAATACTGTTGAAGGCTTAGATTCAAGTCCAATTTATGCCCAGTGCTCTGTGTATTCTCACAGCATTCTTAGCAGCACTTATAAGAAATTAGAAGTAGTCTACAATAAATAAGACCTTCTTTGTATTTCAGTTATAGCATTTCACAAGTAGTTTTTCCTGTTGACTTCTCTTCAAATGTAAATATAGCAGTGAAAAAAGTGTTTTTATAAACAGAACCACACTAATGTAATTTAGCCACCAAACATATCTATATCAGTTTCAGTGGCTTTCCTCTTTATCCTTGTTGGACACTTAGAGGAATAAAAGTCTTTAGCACAGAGAGGAAGCATCTGGACCATAAATACCACAAGAAGCTGATAAACAAGGTCTCTCTATGCGACTGATAATTACAGCCAAACTGTACCATACTATTTGCCTATCCCTGTCTTTTTTATATTTTGCCCTCTTTTAAGCCAATTTAATGTGTTGAAAGTTGCTAGAAAATGTTCAGTAGAAGTGCAAACATCAGACCAGTGCAATTAAATACTCACTTTGAGTACATTTCTAGTATAATCTTTTTACATCTGCAATATGCTCCACTTTAAAATTCAAATGAACAGAAAGCAATGGGTACAAAATTTAAAAATTTTATGTGAGTAAGACTATCTTTCCTCCTTAATCATGGAGAAGAAATCAGGCACATACAGTCTTGTTTACATGAAAGCTGTCTTTGGGCAATTGATCAGGGATTGTAGATCTTTAAAACGCCAGGATGTAATGTCCTTATGTACATTCACTAGTAACTGTGGAATAACTATGTTGGTTTCTGATCAGAAGCTCTATGTTTGCAGAACACTTGTTTCTACAGGCAGCTTACTGGTTTAACAGAAAGCACACAATTATCCTTAATATGTGTTCATTGATGTTTCCTCTTAGTACTATTTCATACAGCAATAGCATTGTCAGGCTTATAAAGTTTCCAGACTTCAAGCTCTCCCAAGTCTATTTAATTAGGCAAAACTGGATTAACACATAAGGGGAAACTATAAAACACACTATACTCTTTGGATAAAGAGTCTTCTGCCATTGTATTAAAGAAGGGCTGTCTCACTGGGGCATTATCCAATATGGAGAGAGTGAATCTTGTTTATTCCCATGCATGGACAATCTGAGCACAATGCTGCAAAAAGGATGCTCCAGGAAAAAGGCAGAAGCAAAACCAGTTCATTGCACAGAAAATGAACAAGCAGGAGATACAGCACATGCAAACTGATATACAGAAATCACCACTGTTGAATTAATGAAAGTGACAGTGCCGCAGCACAGCTGCAAAGCTTTCTGGCGTTCAGCAGCCATGTGCTTGCCTCAAGGGCTAGTGAATTATGTCAGGGAACCGAAGAAAGATTTCTTCCCCTCCTTTCAGAACGAACTCATTTTAAGCTGCTTTCTCTGATTCACATAGTGAAGGTCACAGACTGACTGCTCCAAGGCAGTCAGATCAAGGCAAACAAACAGATGCCGGAGACAAAAAATTCATTTTGCAGCTGTAGTGGAAGGCTTGTGTTGCCATCAGCTACCAATTGCTTAACAAGTCCTAGATGAAAAATTGCAAAAACTTTCATTCCGGCATTTTATTCACAATCAAAAGATAGGGATAATTTAAAGCAAAATTGCTGGTTATTAGATTACAGCCTACTAGCCTAGCCATATTCCATTTTGTCATTTACATCTTAAGTGCTCTCTATGATTTTGTATGGTTATTACACAACAACTATGTTCTCAGACTACTCATGGTGTTAAGTACAGTATTATGTTATGGCACACTATATTCTTTTCTTTAAAAAACTGGCAGCACTACTTGCAAACTCCTTTCCATTACATTTTAGGATTGTGACTTAATGTATACACTGTGACTACAGTGCTGGCCAGCTTCTAGCCTCCTCTATGCCATCCTTAATTTTGATGAACTGTATGTTCTGAAGAACTCCGTAAAGCTTGCACACCAAAACATTTGCATTGCATTGGCTTAATAAAAAATAAGTTTTTTTTCCTTACAGGCAGCACAACAACCTTTAAATTTTGTGTTGGATATTTACAGGTGGTTTAAAAATACCTCTGACATATTACCCAGTTTCTGTAATCAATCCTGTACAATAGTATGTATATTCTTTCTAAAAGTATTATGTTTCATTTCAAAACAAAAATGCAAAAACAATGGCTTAAATCAATACAATGTCTCTGGTAGTACTGAGATGTTCAGCTCTGCCCCCCCCCGTGACCCTTCCCAACACCAAATGTCAGATTCATGTTTTCCCACCCTCAAGTTGGTTTTGAGGGTGCATACGGGGGTGAGGAAGGCATGCAGAGAAATAGTATTTTCCCACTTCTGCTAGCAGAGACCATTTAATGGCTAACTATTCTTCAGACTTTCATCTACTTCATCTTTTTAGTAGCTATGTTTATGCATGGCTACATTAAACATTATGACCACTCCAATTTTAATATTTAAAATGTTACCCTTCTTTTAAAAATGTAAATGAAGTGTCAGGCTGGTTGCATTTCCTTTCTTCCTTCTTTTTTGGCTGGAAAAACAGCACTTAGCACAGGCAAATACAGACCAACATAGCTGCTTTCTTAAAGACAAAACTAGCCTTCTGCACTTACACACATGGTTTGGCAAGTACTACTATGACCTTCTTGCTACTAGAATATGCTGCATATGTGTGATATCAATCTGATTCGGAATCACACATTAAAATAGTGATGCAATATTATAAACACCTGGATAAGAACTAGCCTAAATATGACATGAATTGCAATCTATTTGCATTCAAATGTTGTAAGTGGCTTTTTAATAGAGTTTAATTGCAGTTAGAGCCTGCATGCCTCTTAGGAAGGATTATGACCAATCCTTTTCACATTTAGCTGTTTTTCACCAAAGCTTTACTCAACATAATACCCTCTAGATCAGGGGTGGCAAAATAAGTTCTGTGGGGGGGGACATGAAAAATCTGAACTGTGTTCGGGGGCCGAACCAACTTTGCTTAAAAATAAAATGGAACAGTGATGTTATGATTGTTTTTATTTTAAACTTGTTAATCTTCACAAATACTAAAGAGGTTTTTTTGCGGTATGTTAAAGATAAGCAACTGATCAACTTTAGACAAAAAGCTATAAATGGTTTTGATGTTCAAAACTGTCCGCGGGCCGGACAGGAGCGGTTCGCAGGCCATATGTGGCCCTGGGGCCGCACTTTGCCCAGGTCTGCTCTAGATAGATGCTTTGGAATGCAACTTTCAATATCTTTGATCAGTAGCTACCCTGGCTGGGGCTAATGGGAGTCACATTCAAAAATTATCTGAAGGGTACCATATTGGCTAAGACTGATATAGAATATTAACTTCAGGGTCTATGGATAGACCTCAGAAGGTACATGAACTGGGCCCAAAAATGATTTTTCCTTCTGTTTTTGTAGAGATTTTTTATGATTTGTCTACATGAAGGAAACCGGTTTCAAATGTAAGAGAATAAATTGAATAGAGAGAGAGAATGTGTTTAAGTGTAATTGTGTGGGGGAAAGGAGTTCACAGCTTTCATCAGATTCTCAAAAGGGAAAGAATAAATATTAAGAACCATTGCTCGTATATAATCATCACAACCATCATAAAATTGCACAGATGGAAGAAAAGCTATGGATCATCAAGCCCAATCTCTGTCAAAGAGGCACAGTGGGGAATCGAACTCCCAACCTCTGGCTCCACAGCCAGATGTCTAAACTGCTGCACAGGGTGCACAACCGTTTTCTTGGTCATTGCCTGAAATGGTACTTTAAAAAGAAATCAAACTAAACAATCCTCAATAAAAACACCAGTAGAAAGAAAACGGCAATTTGAAGTAGAATAGGAAGCTGACAGAGAAGGGATGTGTGTCAGTTATCATAAGCTTTGTCATCAAAAAACCTTACTTTTTGCTACACAAAGAATGCAATATAGGATTGCTGTGGAGTTTGGTAGACATCTAATTTCTTTGATCACAGGAAGTAGTTACTTCATCTATAGCAAGAAAAGGTCTTTTGCTCGTATTGCTGAATTGTGTAAACTTGTTTGATGTGCAGAGGTGCAGTCTTGTGTTGGCCCAAATCCAACTGCCAATTTACACTTGCATAAATTAAAATGGAAGTAAGTTAAGGCAGAAAAATACTCTTCATTAATTAAGGTACTGTATTTATTGCATTCTTCCATGCATGCTCAGGAACACAATCGCTGCCTTGTTAATTAGAGGCAGTCTCCTGCTGTGACTCAAGCCAACCCATTTACACAAGCATAAATCAGCAGTTGGATTCTGGCCATCAGTTTAATGATGGATTCCTGCACCCCACCAACACATGAAACTGAAAACCCTTTGCCACCCAGAGGGTCTAAAAATACGAAACTAAATTGGAAGGGTTTCTGCCTGGCCCAATTTGCAAATAGACTAGACCTGTTTATTCTTAATGGAGCAATCAGTGAGAATTTCCCAGGGAAATTAACATACTGGTCAGGAAATGGAGCCAGGACTATTGACTTTGTCGTCCCCTCACACAATCTGCTAAAATTAGTAACCTGTCTGGAGGTTGGGACACATTAGGACAGTGACCACCTATGAATTCTCCTGAAACTTTGTTGTTTAGTCGTGTCTGACTCTTCGTCTCCTGAAACTAGGGATCAAGTAATCTATATATCAGAGAAGCCTGATATAGATCCTATGCCCAATTCTGGCTACAAAATAATCAAATGGATTAGTAAAATAGAGTCTGGATTTTCTTAACTCAGTTGAAGCAGCACAACTCTGTAGTAGAATTGTTAACAAATTATCTGACACTTGCTTTCAAGCCTATCTTGGGGTGGCAAGAGCCTTTGTCTGAATATCCCCGGGTAGTTCAATAATTTAGGTATCTAGCTGTGGAGCCAGAGGTTGACAGTTTGATTCCCCACTGTGCCTCCAGGGAGACGAGCCAGCCAGTGTGGCTTCTGGGGCAAGCTGCAGAGGCCCAGAGAAGAGAATGGTAAGCCGCACCTGGAAAGCTCTGAAAAAGGGTCCCCATAAGTTCAGAATTGACTTGATGTCATATGATGATTAACCTGTCTTTACGCAACCAAAAAAACACTCTCATGAGTGCACAGTAGCAAAAAAGCAGTTAGTAATGAGAATTAAACTGTCTAGGGCTAGCAATATCGGGACAATTGCTCCTGTATTGCAACTCCAAAAAGAACAATATAAAGCATTAAGGGCGGGGGGAACGAAAGTGAGTCATTAAGAAAAACCTGGTCCCAGTTTATCCAAGCCATTAGAACATTTTTCTCATGAATCATAGCAGGCAATTTTCAGGCAGAAGTTCCAAGGACATCATGTATTATTTCTGATGTCTCCAGGGGGTCTTATCTCCAAGCATTGCACACAGCCAAGTCAGCTTACACTACTTCCCTGGACATTGGTCTAGAAAAATCTTCCTACCTGGCCACCAATTACAGTGACAGACATCAAAAGACTCATAGCTCAGTTAAAACTAGGGAAGGCCCCTGGGGTAGTTATGATTTTACCAGAGTTGATTAAAAAAATGTTGAGTGCTGGTGGCACTCTACCTAGATTGACCAAACAGCCGAGATCTTTACTTATTGGGGCATGCCCATCATTATTCCAATATATTATAAAGGAGCTGCATATATCTCACCCCTCAAATTACCGACCCATAAGCTTGCTTAGTGCTATGAGCAAACTCTGTACTAGGCACCTTTGCTGGAGGTTGTGGGATGACCAGAGCAGGAAAATGAAACAGCAAGGTTTAGGGCCAGTCATTACATCCTTGATCAGTACTTATATCACAGCAGAGAAGTATAGCACCAAGCCTCATGAGGTACTTTATACTGCTTTTTTAGACCTTAAGAAACCCTAATTCTCACCCACCCAAACTTGTAAACAGGTTGATCCCTGCTCTTTATCAGCTGATTCCTGCTCTACAGCTGATAAAGTAATTTTATCTTTTAATGAAGTAGGGGTTAGGAGAGCCCTTTGGACTTTTATAGCATACTGCTCTAAAGAGCAGCTTGCAATAAACTATCAAAAGACCAAAATTCTGGTTTTCACCAAAAGGTTTGTCAAGTACAAGTGGCAGATGGGCACAATATTGAACAGGTCAAGATCTATAAATATTTAAGATGATTTTTTTTCAGACAACTGGGCTGTGGAGAGTCCACATTGCCCATGTCACTGAAAATGCTCGAAGAACGATTACTGCCATCCTGAGATTCTTTTTTTAAAGGTGTATATGTGTGTCCGATGTACCAACTTTATTCCAAGGCAAGGTACTGGCCCAGTACAGTCTAAATTCTTAAGGACTGTATTTCCTAATGCTATAGTCCTAATGACCTACTCAGAATAGAAGCTGGAATGGTCCCACTTGAAGCAACTACTTGGCTTCAAATCATCTTTGGCTGAAATTAAAGCTTACTTTTGTATCAGCTTAGCACCTCTGATTTTAATAGATAAACACTCCTCAGACTGGGCAACAGCAGTGGAGAGAAAATTCTTGTCCTACAAATTATCCCCTACAGCCTTGTTACATTTAGGATTTATGAAAGCCAAAGAGACTATTAGGGAGTGGATCTGGTATACTGTACTCCAATTTGACAGAGCAATGGTTCCATATTACTCAGTTGACTGAGAATCACAGTGAGATCTTTATCCCAGCAGATTATTTTTATAATTGAGAACTTGCAAGACACCTGAGAGCCTTTACTCTGGCCCATTTCAATGTTCTGCCTTCAGCGTTTTTAGAGGGAAGATACATATATCTTATGATCAGTGTTTTGCCCCTTCCAATCTGGTATGATGAAACTGTGGTACATGTCCTCTTGTACTGCTCATCATGGCGTAAAGATTTGCACAATCTATTTTCCCAATTTTAAGACATTATCCAGGTAGACCCAATACATTTTATATCTTTTTTCTCCTCCCTGATTCCTTAAGTGAAATTACAGCTAAAGTTGCAAAATTCTGTGCATTGGCTTGTACAATAAGAACAATACAGGTGACTAAATAACTGCAGGGATCAGATTAAAGCCATTAGGAACTCACACTTAATTATAATCTAAATCTCAGTCTCCTTTGTATCAATTGGAAACTCTATATGCCTTGTTATTTTATTTTAGTCTTGCATATGTAACATAATTGATCTACAGTTGTAATAATAATAAAGTTAAAGTATGCATTTCTGAATGGTTTTGATATGTCTTTTCTGAAATGTTATTAACATTTCCCTCTGCTTTCACTACATCTTTCTTGTAGAATCTACTTTGTAAATAAAATAAAATATAGCAATCCTCTAAAATTATTTTGAAACCCATCATTGAGACCATTTATGTAAACAGCCTGAAGAAGTTAACACTGGCTCAGCATGTGCCACAGTTTAACCTATGCTTCATTCATCTCAAATGATCAGACAAGTAGCACACAAGTGAAAATAAGGTTGCCAGGGTGGGAAACCAAACATTCCACAGCTTTATGATGATATGCTGTAACTTTATACCAGTATTAATCTGGAGTATGTGTCATGGGATACAATTCATGGTTCCTAATTTGTCAAATGAAACTTTGAATGTAGCACATGACACAGAAGGGATTTACTGGTCTCACTTCCTCTGTGCCTGTCCAAGATTATCAGTGGAGTGTAATGCTATGGAAGAGGGAATGCTTCTAGCAGCCTTGAACTGACAAGGAATAGGGAGTTTGTTAAACAGGTAGTTTCTCAACCAATTATACACAGACAGAGGTATGATGTTCCCCAAAGGCAATGGTAAAGCCAATGGGCAGTGCTTCTGAAGAGGCATGAGGAAGGCTGGTGATAACCAACACTCCATTAACACAGTGTTACTATAAAAGGAGAGTAGAAAACACTTTAGTGGGAAATTGTAATCACCCAGGCTTTCTTTTTGATACCAACATAGTTGACAGATCTTACATTTTTTTGCTCCCAGGAACCTCTTTCTATATTGGGTGTATAACTCTTCACCATTCTTCAATGTTTCAGGCGCAGGGTTCTGCACCAAAGTTCCAAGAATTTTATTTCCAGTGCCTAACAAGGGCCCAGATACGTAGAATGACTGTACTGAATCAGGGTATGGCAGGTACGTTCCCCAACACTTGTCTGCCACCTCCAGCAGAAATAAAGCAGGACACAGGTCATAGTAGAAAGAGTCACAGTTTGTCAGCACCACTTTTAGACAACTTGGATAGGGCATTTCTTTGTCATGTGGCTTGTCAGCCTTTAGATTCAGTGCTACTATGCTTTAGATGGAGTACCGTTTCTAGACTTAGGTACACAGTTGTAAAATCCAAAACACCTGATTTCCCCCCAGGTGTTCTTTCGCTGTTCTCCTACTTCCATCTCCTATAATGGCACCTCATTTCTGTTTATCATGTTAATAGCTCTGCACTGAAGACAGTCTAAATAACTGCTTTCCAATAAGCAAACTTTTTCAATGCTGGTAGTGATCTCTGATTGCCCTGAGCATCTGCAGCCCAGGCCTCTGCTGTCAAAGCTGAAAGAGAGGATCATATTTTCTAATTTCCTGTAGCAGGCGCATTTTGTCCAGATTGGCTTCTGCAAGTGCTTTTTTGGTAACCTGCAGTTCTCTCTCCAAAGCTGGCACTTCTTTTAGCTGCAACATACAAAACAGGAAACAACATAAAGGTAAGGCATTATGCTTATATTATCTAAAGAGATACATTTATAGCAGGTTTGCTCTCTTGCACAGAGGCTGAGCTATCTAATACCCACTAAATACCTACTAAAATCTAGAGATTTTATGGAGAAATTGATTCCAAATGTTCTTCAAGGTAGAAAATGATCTAGATTCCAAATGTTTGTATCAGATTAGAAAGGAGTTCAGATTACAAGTTTCATCCTCCTGTGAGGTTGGGTGTCCTGAGATAGCACTAGATTTCTATCAGAGGCAAATTGCTGAAAATGAGCCATATTCTCACAAGAAGTACTGATAATCTCTCCTAGATACATAGCATCAGTTGCTGGAGAATTTTTCTGCACCATCTATGAAGGGGATGTGCTTAGATCCTGAGGAAGTGGATATCGCCCATGAAAGCTTCCTATTTGTTTTGTTTTTCAAAAGTCCAGTAACAGGTACCACCTATTCTACATGGAACAATGCTTGATTTCTATGTTCAATATTTATGTTAATGCTTTCACAACTGTAACAAATGAAAACAATTTTTAAAATTATGTAACCAACATCAAGCCAAATATTAGTTCGCAAGATAAGCATATTAATATTCAAGGCAAACCTCACATTTTCTTTAAAAGAACAGTAACAACAAAAATAGTAGTACAAATGGCACCACAAACACATTACACCAATACCTCTTTGTCTGGAGAGCACACATCTTTGCTTTTGTTATAAAAAATGCAAAAGTACATTGGTTGGTTCATACAGATTCTGTTTCCCCCCTCTACATATTGGTACTGTGTTTTGCCTTACATTTTAGGCTGTAAGCCTGAGGGCAGAGGCTGATTTATTATCTATATTGTAAGCCACCCTGGAGAGCCTCTTTTTCCTGAACAGCAGGGGATACATGCAATGAATAAGTAATAAAGAAGGTTCCAGGGAAATCCCAGCTTATTCTTTATGTATCGCATACGTATGCATGCTACCTGATTATTCCCACAACTAGCAAGAGGAGATGAAAGTACCTAGTTTAGTCTGTGGGTTTGGTTTTTTAATTTTTTGACATAACAAAAAGTGCCTTTCAATTCTAATCTTGAAGTGGGGGGGAAAGTTCAGTTCCTGGTTTTTATGCTAGGTGGACTGCAAGCTGACAGCACATGCTATGCTCAGTTCAGCAGTGGGATTTGTACAGCTCCCCAATGATATCCCCCCCCCCATTTCTACTTTGCAAAAATGGGAACATCCTACCTCCAAAATGTTCCAGAACAGCAGAATTATCCTATAAAGCAACCATTCTCAACCTTTGTTTGTTTGTTTGTTTTTGGCCGTGGCCATAAACACAATATGAAAAAAAACCCCAGGCAGAATCAGGATTGTCTAACTTGCATAACAAACCATATAAGGTGGTATGTGAAGAACTGTTTCCAGTTTGTGGCCCCTCTTTAAACATGCCTGGGGCTCCCAGGGGACCAGATGTCCCCCCCAATTGAGAACGGCTGCTCTAAAGAAAGATGTAGCTCCCAACTTGCTTTCACAAAATGAAATCAGATTTTTTCAAAATGGGAAAGTGGTTTTTTTAAACAAAACAAAACTGAAATGACTTTCCATTTGGGAGGAGAGGGCACAGCTCACAGAGTAACTCAGGGGAGGTAGAAAACGGCCCCTGGAACCTCCAGAGTTGCTTGTGTCCTTGGCAAAATTTCTTGAAAGGACTGTTCTGCACACCAAAATCTGCATACAGATTCATAGTTCACTGAACTGCAAAGAAAGGGTGATGTAGTACTAGTGCAGCTTTCATTCCTCCCCTTCCACTTCCCAGCTTCTGATGCAGCTCAGAAAGCAGCTGCAAAGGGTTTCCCAGCCTTCCAGAGCAAACTTTTGGGAGTGTACAGGGGCTGCAGTGCAGATAAGAAGTTGCCTCTTCCTGATTCTGCTAACAGAAGCAGTTTCATCAGCAGATGCACCTCACTGGATCCCAATATTTACAAGAAAAATGTGATAATTTGGATTTATTACAAGTGAAACACACTTGTAATAAATAGATGTACTATCTTACTTCCATTTGATTCCAGATGACATCTCTACAGAACAATATGGTTGTGTATTAGAGATGTATTTCTTACATTTATATTAAGAGGAACAAGTAGAGCACTAAGTGCCTCAAAAATGAATATGTTTTAACTAGCATGAACTTTTGTTCACTAAAGCCCACTTCATCAGATGCATGTGATGAACCAGTCTTTACTGCAAGAGATTGGCATAACTATCTCCTGGAAATAATCAAATTCTGTTACTGAGAATTGCGTAGAAACTGTGTAAGAAAACTATAATACAGTGGTGCCCTGCATGATGACGATAATCCATCCGATTGAAATAGCTGTTTATCGAGATCGTTGTCATCTGTTTTCCCATTGGAATGCATTGAAACCCATTTAATGTGTTCCAATGGGGAAAATACCTCATCATCCAGCGAAGATCACCCATGGGGAAGCCATTTTGCGAGCGCCGATCAGCTGTAAAAATGGCTGTCCTTCGAAGCATAGGTCCAGAAAACACAGAGCAGCCATTTTGCAAAGCCGACGATCAGCTGTAAAAATCGTCGTCTTGCGAACAAATGGTTCATGAAGCACGGACCTAATCAACGTCCAGCGAAAATCCCCCACTGGAATGACTGTTTTGCGAATCGCTATAGCGATCGCAAAAAGTCATCGTTAGGCGGATTCGACGTTTAGCGGGGTTGTAATCTTGTGAGGTACCACTATATACTGTAGCAATATAGTATAATGTAATAATATAATAAAAATACATAAAAGAGGCAGACAGATAGACACATATACACGTGCATATACAAAGTTACGTCTGTGGTTTGTGTGTATGGCGAATACTTTTATATAGTTTCTTTAGTGATTGCAAGCTGCTAGTTCCACCACAAGGACATACAGCCTACCTGTAGCTCATCCTCTGTCCCTGATGAAACAACAGAGCTTTTCTCTGCTGAGATCCTCCGTTTCTTAAGACTTTTCTGAGGCCTTTTCTTCACAGATGATCCCTCCTCTTGTGAAGCTGGAAAATAACATAGACATTTATAGACATGGGGATAGTCTTATTAAGGATATCTTTTTAAAATCTTTTGTCAACTTTTTTTTAAATTAAGAAACTGATAAGGACAGGCAATGCAGGAGCAGTGACATCAAATGCCAACTACAGTTTCAGCCTCTTTTTAACTCTTTTACATAATCTAACTTAATCATTATATTAATTATTTCAGGGCATCAGTATCAATAATAATAATATCAAGAAAATGGAAACTGAGAAACAATAGTGGTTTCTAGGAGATATCTCGAAGATGTTAATGCCGCTCCAGTCATTTTGGGTCAATGCCACTGGAAAAGGTATGACTGACCTGTTACAACAAACTCTCCATCATCATTGCAACAAATAGCAATGTGGTCCATCACCAAGATTATGGGGAGGGGACCAGGTAATAATAATATCAAGAAAATGGAAACTGAGAAACAATAGTGGTTTCTAGGAGATATCTCGAAGATGTTAATGCCGCTCCAGTCATTTTGGGTCAATGCCACTGGAAAAGGTATGACTGACCTGTTACAACAAACTCTCCATCATCATTGCAACAAATAGCAATGTGGTCCATCACCAAGATTATGGGGAGGGGACCAGGGGACGTTGGATACACGCGAGGACTGTCATCCTGAAAAACAAACATCATTTGCTTATTTGTATTAAAGATAGTTGTGTCCCATATATTTACAATAATGCTTTTACACACTATTCTCCTTGATAATAAAGAAAAAAATTGAAAACAAGAGATGTTCTCCATTTATTGGAATGGAAGAGTGAAAAGTGATTTTCTTCTACAACGGGTCTTGTGGAGAGGCGAGAAGGATCTGGCAACTCAGACCCAGGAAAAGTTATGATATCTTTATTGTTATTCCAAGATTTTATCTCTCAGAATAGTTAAGAATCCTATGATGTGCCTATTAATACTTTTTTAACAGGAACAATTTCCAGAGACAAAGAAGTCTTACTTTTTAATTTGAATGGGCTGTATATATTGAGCAACGGAAACTCTTCCCAATGTTGAGACTGACAGTCATCAGAATGCTATTCATCCTGGTGAATTTGACTGTTGTTGCATCTTTTTACAAAAAGTTAAGCAACAGAAAGGACTGCAAGCAGGAGGTATTGGTGATAGTGGGGAGGGATGTTTATGTTACTTTACTTGACACAAAACAGAATGCTTTAACACATGCTTAAACATATGCCATCAAAAAGCAGGGTGAAAAATACTGTGCTGCATGTAATCCAAAAAGCATTTATTGTGAATATAGCACGGATATCAAGAGGCCATTTAATATCTCTGCTAGTTTTCATATGGGATGTGTGGAGGATGGAACAACCAGCAATCCCTTTGAAATCTGAAAGCAATTATAAGCAGTATGTTTGTACAGATCAGTTTCAGAGTCTTCATTTCCAAACCAGAGCTCTTCTGAGGCTGGAGGCAACCAGCTCAACAATGAAAACTTAAAAGCAATGCAAAAAAGGGGGGAAAGACAGTCATCTGAACCCTGACTTGGAAATGGTTTTCAGATTGTCTTGGCCAATAAAAATAAAAATGAAAACATATGTACTTGGAATTAATTTTTACATTTTTTTTCTGTCACTAAGAGATTCCCACATTTCAAAAAAAAATGTGGCCAGCCTTGCACTGTTGAGTACATCTTTCTAATGGAGCCTGTTTCCAGAGAAAGATGAGAAACAGGATGGAGGGGGGGTGCAGAAAAGCTTGGTGATAGGAATGACCTGAAAGGGGCACACTCAAGCAATTTTGAGAATTGTTTTAGTGCACTTGTATCTTCGCACTGTTATCCAGCTGCAGCCTTCCATTGGATTTCATATGTTGGACTGTTTAATTTTTCTGATGTCTGTTTTATTTACTGTAAACTATATTTTACTTCTGTAGACACTGTTCTATTACATTACTTCTATATTTTTGAAATTTTACCAGACTATGTGCTGCCCAGGAAACTGAATGGGCTAATGGGCAATATAAAGGCTAACAAGTTAATATCTTTTATTTATGCCCTCACTCTCCTTTTAATGTTCCCTAGTCACATGGCCTTTTCCACTGCTCTACTTTACTGGGTGAATAATTTCATCAAGCTGCGCAGCTTGGCTCCAAGAATTCTTTGGGGAGGCAGTCACCTGAGCTCTAGCCTCACCATTTATATACATCACGTCACAATTCTTGCCCCAAATGCCCATTTGCTTCTTCTGACACTGGTGAGAAATCCTTCTATAGCCCTTTCCAATCTATTTTTATTAGAACTGCCCAAAATACAGTGGTGTCTCGCTTAACGGGTGCCCCATTTAACAACGAAATCACATAGCGATGAGGATTTTGCGATCGCTTTTGTGATCGCTTTGCGATGGTCTGAATGGGTTTTTTTCGCTTTGCAATGATCGGTACCCTGCCTCACTTACCGATCATCACAAAACGATGATTTTAAAACAGCTGATCAGCGGTTCCAAAATGGCCACCGGGTAAAAAACATGGCCGCCCACTGTGTTTAGGGACGGATTCCTCGCTTACCGGGCACCCAAAATGGCCACCGTATGGAGGATTTTCGCTTAAAGGTAAGTTTTTAGCCCATAGGAACACATTAAACAGGTTTTAATGCATTCCTATGGGCTTTTTTATTTCGCATAGCGACGAAATCGCTTTGCAGCGATTTTTGCTGCACGGATTATCATCGCTATGTGAGGCACCACTGTAACTGGATGTCATCTTCCAACCTGAACATCTCACCACTCATTTCAAACTCCAAATTGTTTATGAATAAGTTTTAAAAATAACCTTTCTAATGCAGATCCTGGGACAACCATATGTCCACAATTTATTTATGTATTTGTTTGTTTGTTTATTTATTTATTTATTTATTTGTTCAATTTATATCCCACCCATCTGGTATATTCTACCACTCACAATCCCTCCACTGTAACAACTGTGCATTACTCCTACTGTCTGCTTCTTAATTTTTAAATGGCTGCCAATCTACAAAGGCTTCTTTCTGCTCACACCCAGTGTATCTTACAAGAATTTGGAACATTTATTTACACAGTAATTAGCAGACAAAAACTGACTTAATTATCCAATACAGTCAATGACTAGGAAGATAAAAATACATTATTTAGATAAAATCACATAATATCAGAGACATTGGTCAAGACATGTCACCATCAATGCACCGTCTGGCTCTTTTATGGCATTAAAGTTAAAAATAAGTTCTAAGTTAGCCAGCAGCATTAAAGAATATAAAAGCTTTTAAAACATCACAGGAGTCACATGATATTAGATGAAATTAAGAGACACATATAACCCTTGAATTGCAAAGTTTACTTGGAAACCTTCAGTAAGGGACTGTAGCAAGGGGTCTATGTCAAACCTCTTGAAACTTCAAGTCCATTAAGTGTCTACACTAGATCATCCATGTGTTTGCTAAACTCTAAAAAGTTAGTCAGGTGGGACAGACCTTTGCCAAAGCCATGGTCATTCTTCTTCAGCAGCACCTGGTTTCCTGTATGCTTGAAAATGGTGGTCTATATTACTTTCCTTTCTTTTCTAATGCTAACAATAGACACACTCACCTTTAGTACAATCTTGGTATCCACAATTTCAATCTTCATGGGGATAACCTCAGGAATCACCTCATCCTCAATGAAGGGCCCAAGGCTAGAAAAAGAGGAGGTCAGCAGCTCTGCAAGATAGCTATGGACCAGCAAATGCAAAAATCCATTTTGGACAGCCAGAGGTGAGTGCACTGCAGCGCTCGGTCCTATTTCATATCGCAAACATACGTGAGGCTGTGTCTGGCTAATTTCAGTGGTTGCAGGCGTCTCTGAGTTTGGGTCTCCTAGAAGCACAAAGTGTTTGTAATGGAAGGACTGTATAGTCAACAACATTGTTAATTTTATTGCACTATTTTATCTTTTTTTTCCACCAATGCTGCTGACTGAACACAGTTAATTGTATTCACTACTGAAAGCTCCTTACAGATTGATTTAATTCAGTTTTGGGCCCTCAGTTTCCCCAACAGAAATCACAACTGCTGTTAGCATCTATGACAACATAACCTAAGCAGTGTATTTTCTGATTTACTTCATAGGAAATGTCTGCATGTCTTATTACCAAAATCATGAAACAAACATAACCTTCTCCTCATTAAACAGCCATTGAACCTTTTCTAAAACTGACTTTTAAAACCCTCGCCGTTTTTAACTAAGGGTCTCTTTGTACTAAGAAACAAACAAAGATATTTTATATTGCTAGTTCAATGTACTGTATTTAATTTTGTCTTGCGCCATCTAGTGACCAACAAATAAATGTACAACAGAACAAAGAGGATTCAAAATAAATAAAATCTATAGCTTTCTCATTAAAAAGATAGATCAGATGGAAATTTCTGCTGATAAGGTAACCCAGCTCAAGAATCTGAAGACTCAAGAATATCCACCCATCCTCTCTACTTCACATTGTCTCAGAGCTCAGAGTGCTGTCTTATACACACATACATAATTAGAATAATTGAATATCATCAAGTCATTTCGAACTTTACTGTAATAAGAAACCTTTTAACGTGTATCTGAAGTTAATTAGGTCAATGAAGTCCTTGGTCAGAATCAGTCTGGAAAACGTCTTCATTTGGCTCATGAGAGAAGAGGAAGGCTAGTGTCAGACTTTGTCCCTTTTTAATGTTTACAGCAGTGCTTGGATCAGCAAATGCGAAAGAACATAATGGTGGACATAGCACGCAAAGAAGGCAATTCCTTTAGCTCTCATTGATGAAAACCCAAGCTGACAGACAAGAGTTAGGGCAGCAAGACTTCCAGCAGACTTAAGCTGCAGCATTTCTCTTAAACAGTTATTCAAAACTTTTACTCAACTGTCATGTGCTGTTGGTGGAAAGAAATAGGAAGTGAGAAATAAAACTTCTGTTTCAACAAACTTCATTTATGTATATTCATCATCGTCAACTTCAACCAAACAAACAAGCAAGCTAGCAAACAAAACCCTTTCAAATTATGGACCTGCATCCCAGACAGTAGTAGTCTGCATTGAAAGAAACCTGGGAGCAGAAGGTCTGCCCCTGTGAGAGTCTTTCTCACTGTCCTCCATCCTGCAGATATTTTGCACATACAGTGGTCCCCTGCATAGTGACAATAATCCGTGCAGCAAAAATCGTCGCTATACAGATTCGTCGCTATGCGAAATTAAAAAGCCCATAGGAATGCATTGAAACCCCTTCAATGCGTTCCTATGGGCTTAAAACATATCTTTTAGGTGAAAATCCTCCATATGGCGGCCATTTTAGCTGCCCTGTATGCGAGGAATCCGTCCCTGTTTTACCTGGCGGCCATTTTGGAACTGCCGATCAGCTGGGGGAAAAACATCGCCATGCGAAAATCGGTAAGCGAAACAGCTTACTGATCGTCGCAAAGCGATTTTCCCGCATAGGAAACATTGTCGCTATGCGGATTCGTCGTTAAACGGGGTGCCCGTTATGCGAGGCACCACTGTATTTTGACAGCAAGCAAGAAGAGGGTGCCTCCCTCTTCCACTGACAAAAGTAGTAAAAATACTTAACTAGATGTCCTCTTTTATATTAGGACAAGCATCCTACATATGCTATTGACTGTGCCTACAGTCAAAACAGTCTTTACACATAAAAATCCCCTCACATGTGCTGGAATTGCTTAACTCTAGCCAAAATTTCCAGTGACTAACAACATACCTGTGGAGTCACTCTGCAGATAGTGCCACATACTAATATTTCCTAGGTGTTCAGGGGTGAGATCCATAATCTGAAGGGCAAGTGCCATATCCTCTCCTTTTGTTTCTATCACACAGTTTATTTCACTCATTTTCAGCACCAGGACAGATACCTGAAAGAAAAAATCCAACGAACAAATTAGCATTGCAACATTGCCACTCTTTTCCAAACAGTTCAGAGAAATGCTACTTAAGAGAACAGGGGTGGGGGGTGGGTCTGACCTGCTGGGAATTGGGTTCCTGCCCACTCAGAGAAGCTGAGCTGTTGATATATGTTGATCCTCCTTCTTCATCTGCCAGGGGACTTGATCTGATATTTGCATAATCAAGGACTGGGGTGAGACGTCCTGGTGGAAGAGGATCCAGACTAGGATCTAAAGAAAAATTAAGAAGTGACAGAACAGTCCTGCCTTTATATTATGAAGTCTGATCTCTAGCTCTGCAACATTATTTTAGCCAGGCAGGATTCTCTGAATCCTGAAACATATGAAGCTATTATTCCAATGCATTTTAAAATGAACCTAAAATAATACATGTTTGCAATATCACAAATGACTGTAGTTTCTGAGTTACAGCATTTTCTCTGTCTTCAGAATCCTTTGCTACATCCTTTTAGAAATAGTCCTAGTATGAATTCCCTACAATCCGTCACTGCATCTTGCCACCAAGAAAGCAGTTTTTAAATCCATAGGTACATTTACACACTGAACGTAAGATGCTTTTATGCAAATGTACTCCAAAGTAGTTGTTCTGTATAAAAAATCAGCAGAGTCTAGCACTAAATGGAAACATCAGAACAGCAGTGGTAACATTTCTGCACATATTTCTCATGGGAGGGTATTAATGGTTGTTCTGATAACTTTGCCAAATTACTCAACGGGGTTTGAGTTAAGACATTTAAAAGGCCTGGCCTACTAAACATACTTCTTGTTTATTATCACTGTTGCACTGAATGGAACAGAGAAAAATTAAGAGGGAAACAGATGTTCCCACAGGTCAGTATTTTGACTCCTATCTGGTTTCTGTTTCACATTCTTCAGCAAAATTAGCTGGGTGAAGGGATCCAGAAGGGCAAGAAAACCTCTCTAGCCGTAATCAAATTCAGAACTGAACTCTTAAGGACAGTCAAAATATACCTGAACATGTTTAGCATAGCAGGCTACCAGACTGAATTCAATCCCTAATTAAAAACTCTTTCATCTAGGAGTTAGAAAGGCCGCTACAATCAATACCATATATCATGGTAATCACCTGCTAGAAAAGCAGGATTCCAGGAATAGAAACAGGCCTTTGCAACAGAGAATCCTTAAATGTGGTTGCTGAACCTTTCTCACTAAGAGGAGGCTATCCATAAATATTTCAACAACTTTGCATTAGGGAATGCCTGGTTTCAGACCTTTCCATGTGGAAATAAGGTTTAGCATAAAAAGATGTAGACAGCTTATGGGAGAAAAATATTAATACAGATCTACTATCAAAAACTGACTGATTACTACAAATCAAAATGTGACCTTCATCCATCTCTATTTACAGCTGGTTTGTCTTTCGTAGCAGGTCACTACCCTGAATCCTCTGTGAGGTTTTCCACCACCCCCTTTTCTTATTCCATCCCATTTCCCTCGAGTTCTAGTTTTTAGTTCTCATAAAGCTAAGCACTCCTTTCAATTTCACTGCACCTTCACTATTAGTTCATTTTCTTTTCCTCTGTTGTGCTTACTAGTCCTTCACTTTTCAGCCCAACCAAATTCATTTCCCTCCTTTGTACAAAGCATACAGCATCTCCTGTCCTGCGTATTTTGCTTAGCCAAAAATGTTAGTTCATTTGTCAAATATGTCTTAAATATTCCAACAACTTTTCCTGCAGTCAGTCAGAATGTTCACAAGCATTTCATTACATCATTGCAACTCAGCCAATGACTTGAAGAGATTTACAGTCAGCTAGCTGACATTTTCATACTGATCTTTCTTTCTCACACTGGAAGAGATTAATAATGAGTGATTAATGATAAGTGGCAGAACATTTTTGTGCCACTGTCTCACTTGAGTTAGCCGGACTTCATTATCACTCAAGAGTCCTTATATTATTAATTTGTAAAACAGAGGAAGTGTAAACATTTATTCTTATTACCAGAATCCAGAAGCATCACAAAACCATCACTGCCATCACTGTCCACTGATAGCCTGTCTTCAGGACCACTGCCATCTAGTGAGCTGGTATCAAAGGAATGCTGTGAGGCAGTCCTCTTCATGGAGAAGAACCGCATTCGTCCACTACCACTTCCTCCTGAAGTCAGTGTGCCCTCTTCAGCCTTTGGTGCAGGATCCCTATCAAGAAGCATCAAAACAGACTGTGTGCCAATCATCACAATTACAACACTGTCCATCATTATGAGAGACAGTAAACAGTGGGAAGGTTACATATTCTGGGAACCTTCTGTGCATGAAAGTTGGGGCATGTTTTAGGTCACTCTAAGACTCTTACTGCAGTCCTTGCTGCCGCCACCACTTCCCTCTCACCGACAGCTAAGCCATCCTTTGTTAGTAGTGCAGTGTTATTATGTGCACTCAGGCTGCTTCCAACTTACAGCAGTTTTAATAGGCTTTTCAAAGTACATGAGATGTTCAAGGAGTGGTGCACTGCTGCCGCCCCACATTCATGAATTTCTGTGACCAAGCAGGTATTTGAACGCAGGTCTTCTTAGTTTTAGTCTGACACACTGTCACTACACTACACAGACTCTGACCACACTGTTAGAGTAGGGAACACATTCCCCCCACATATAGATGCACAGGGACATTTCAGATAGCCAAAGATAGAAGCTAAACCTATCTTTTGCATCAGTGACCCCAAAATCACCTCTCAATTGCATCTCAGTTTTACTGTCCAGAACTCAATGGAAACCCCAGAGAATTTATCTTTGATTGTCATAGTCTGTCCCCCTCATTTTGCTAAGATCTTGTAGCCAAGAATGTTCTGCAGTCAAGTGTGCAGAATATACATGACTTCCTACTTTTAGGAAAAAGCACATTTTGGAATAAGTAAAGGACAGATTTGGGGGACTTTGAGATCAAATAAATAACACTGCCTTAAATGGAATTTAATCTACTTCCAAAAAAGCAATTTAAAAAACACCAAGAAGAAAACTGAGTGTGGAAAGGCTGAGGCAAATGAAAGTTTCCTCTTTGCTTAGAAAGCAAAGATGAGAGTAAATGGGTATCCCAGGGAATATAATCCACTTACGCTGCTGCTACGAAAATATTTTTAAAATCACTCACTTAGCTTGGGGATGAAACAGCATTTTCTGCACAGAAGCCATCTTTTCCTTGCTCAAACTGAAGGCATCTTTTGTCAGAGACATGGCCTCTTTGGTGAGGTCCATGGTCACATGCAATGCTTCCTTGGTAGCACCCTTCGTTATATGCAATGCACTGGATAATTCCATCTCCATGTTTTTTAAAGGGATCACCTCTTCTTGGCCATTGAGGGAGATCTGTATACCACCTAAGGGATCTACAATAGAAGATGGGCTGGAAGGAAGGACTTGAGGGTCTTGAGGATGGCTGCCAAGCTCACTCTGTCTCTCAGCATCAAGGATTTCTTCAGCCTCATGTGCTTCTTCTATAGGGCCTTTCCCCCTAATTATCTGCCCATGTAACTCTTCTCCTGCCAGAGACCCATCACTCTGTGATTTCACCATAGTATCCTGTAAAGCACTCACACTTGTATCTGTGTTCTCAATTCCGCTGTCCTCTAGTACTTTTGTGGGACTGCCATCTTCCTTCTCTGAACTAGCATCTGATTTCATCTCTCTGCCTTCAGCAGCTAGTCCTTCCCTGCTCTCTGAAGGGGAAAGTTCAGATTCTATTAAACTTGTAGTATCTGAGTCGACAGATTTAGGTTCCAAAACAGGCCCTGGAATAGGATGCATTAGCAAGGCCAGCTCAGCACTATTGAACATGATGCCCATACACATGGTTATGGAATCTAGAGGGGACCCCATCATTTCCTGACTGTCTTGGGTCAATTGTTCCTGAAATGTTTGCAGGACTTCCTTCATCCTAAGTAGCATCAAATACTGGTAGTGGTTGAGTCGCACCTTCACATGTGCACTTGAATAGAGAAGAACATGGACATCAGCAGATACTTCCACATCTTCATCATTCTCTTTACCATTGACCTCATAGTTATCTTCTTCCAAGACACCCTTTGTAGCTGGAGTGAGATAGATGCTTTTCAAGTCCTGCTCAGTCTTAGATCTTTGGCAGAACTGCTCTTCCCTGGAAATGGCCTGATGTCTTGCATGGTCACTAAAGCTAGCAGAAGACTTGACTTTAACTTTTGAGGCAGAGGACAATTGTTGAATGGTTGCCTGGGCTTCCTCCCATCTCTTTGGGAGGCAGGCCCACACACAGAGCGGGAAGGGGTATATAAAGTTTAGGGCTTTGCCTTTTGAACTTTTGGTCCCTTCAAAGTCCAGGGAGATCTGGGTGAAATTAACAGACCAAAGGTCTTCAGAAGCTGAGGGCCTGCCCAAGGAATGGCGGAGGTCTGTAAGTTTCTGGGTTTTCGTGTCCACTTGGTATGCATGACGTAAGAAGAGGGTGTGAAGGAGGCTGAAATTATCCTGGAATTTGGGGAATTGGGTATAGCTAGAGTGGAAGAATTCTGAAGCTGCAAATCTACGGAACAGGTTCTGGAGGGCCAAACAGCTGCAGTGGGGAGCATGCCTTGTGTTGGTAGCTGTCATTTCTGATGTGCAAATGGACAGACACTGAGGGCGGTCCTGGTGATCAACTACTTTCTTCTGTACTGGGATGTTTAGCTATAGCAATGGGAGAGAAAAGGGGAAAAGAACATAAAATGATCTCCATAGATGTAAACCAGTGATTCCAAACCTTGGGTAACCCAAGTGTTCTTGGACTGCAACTCCCAGTAACATCGGCCAGCACAGACAGTGAAGGCTTCTGGGAACTGTAGTCCAAGAACACCTGGGTTACCCGCAGTTGGGAGCTATGGATGTAAACAATGCAGTGTATCCTTGATTTGATCTGAAATAAAAACAAGTGTCTGTCACCCATGGAGGTACTTTTTATGGAAAAGACTATTTAAAACACATTGCTAGCTTATTCCCTCAACAGCCATATGAAGACAGATTACTCGTATTAATAACAGAGAACTGAGACTGACAGTCTGTGATTTACCTAATGCCACACAAGAAGCTCATGGATGAGCAGAAAACTGAAAAAGATTAAATTCAGCATCTTCTCCAACAAGACAACAGTAGTTCATGCTATATACTACAGGCAATTTTTTAATTTACTTTATATCCCACCTTTCTTCCCATAAGGGAACACAAGGTGGCATACAACTATTTAAAAATACCTGCAAAAAACCACAATGATTGGTAAAATAATGCTATGATAGTCTCTTGGAAGGCTGCAGATGGATATTTTTTAAAGCCAAGCACTTTTTGTCACAGGCCTGTTCTATAAGCACTGATTCAGAATAAACTTTCACAGAACCTTGCTTATAGCTATCTTATCTGCACCATTGCATACAACTGGCATTGTGATAATATGACAGCAGAACTGACATCCAACAGTAGTCTACAATAAAAACAAGATACTGTATGTTATTATTACATTATAATCCAGTTAAAACAGTATCAGTCCAAGCAACATTAAAAACCTGCTGATATTATTTAGTTCACCTTGAGCCACTAATGCAACAAAGCAGATTTCCCTCTGGAGTGCTTTCATATGTTCAGCCTAAAAACACTCTTATCATGCCTTCCCATCCTATTTCTCTGACAGTGGGAAATATAAAGACAAGCCCCAGTTGCTGATATGATATAAACAGTTTTACTACAGTCACGTAGCCTTCTTTTCCTTTGAACCTTGGGCAAATGTCACATGATCAAACAGACTAAATAAACAAATTGATTGATCAATTTTTCATCATCATCACCATCGTGTGCTTTCAAGTCAATTCTCACATGGTGACCCTTTCCAGGGTTTTCTAGGCAGAGAATACTCAGAAATGGTATACTGTATAATAATACTCATTATTATAGGGGCAACCTGGGACTGTGCAGCTTGCCCAAGGCCACACAGGCTAGTTCTTCTGGGATGCAAGTGAGAAAATTAACTCCCAACATCTGGATAACTCATTAAGCTATCCAATCAGCTTAATAAAAGAATACAGATCAATAATAGGAACATATACTCTTATTACCAATCTGTCTAAATCTTCTTCTTAAACTAGGAGCTTTTATGATTTGTCCTCATATGGAATTGGAAAAAGCTGTCAATTTTCTGCAGGTTGACATGAGAATGTTCAAAAGCAAAATGGTTGCTTTGCAAAGGCGGACACTGCCTTTCCCCTCTCCCCTTATCTCATGAGTATCCTTTTGCCTTATACCAGAGAGAGCATTACAACAAATGAAAATACCTTCAGCGTGAAGCCATCCAATCTGACATCAATGTGTTCATCTCGCTTGCCAGAGTTCTCCAGCTTGTATATAGCTTTGAAGTGTTGTAGGCTGCGATAGAGATCAAGGCAGAACAAGTTCACCCAAAGCATGCTCACTGTGTCCAAGGTGAAAATCAGACCATGCAACTGCAGATACAGGTTGGGACATGGAACTGGAGAAGGGAAGAAAAGTATGGGTTAACATTCCACTGGTTTAGACTGCACAAGTAAAGAGGGTGCCTTGCCTTGGTAACAATGACGCATTCTCTGCACTCAGCATCTTGCCTCTAAGAGCAACTAGCATTAAAAAACAAACAAACCTTAGATGTGTCCTATAAGGCAAGTCTAGCTTTACCATTCCTCTCAATTTCATATCCATCAGAGAAGTTCTGGATATCTTTGAAAATGTTGCTCATCTTTATTACTTCTTACTTATTTCTTGCTATTAATTTGACTTTATCTTTCTTGAACCTAGCTTGCATTAGCAACTTTTAGCAAGACCCCAGGACAATTTGGACCAGAGTGGGTGAACATGTAGCTTTTCAGATATGATGGGCTGCAACTCCCATCACCACTCACCACTGGCCATAGTTGCTGAGACTCATGGCAACTGTAGCTCAACTGTAGCAGCCGGATGGGCACATATTTCCCATCTTCTCTGAGTGTAAAGGACAGAGCAGTTATCCACTGAGTGAAAATGGCTGTGTTTGTTTAAATCTCACTGAGGAGACTTTTTAGATTTAAGTTACCAAAAAAGTCCTTCTTTCCTTTAACAAAGCTCTGCAAGAAATACTGCCTAGAATAGGGCCATGGAGAAAGGGGTTGCTAATATTATCAATGGTTGCCATCGAGATCACAAAGACAGAGTAAATGGGCTGTAATCTCAAACACAGATGAGAAGAGGGAAAACTTGCTTCTACTCCAGGCATGGGTTTTTTTTTAAGCCCGTATCCAGATTACTTCCTTGAGTACATAACTTTGTTTTCACCCATATGTGAATGGCTGTCATTCATTCCTGTGGGGGAAAAGTAAAGTATTGTACTGAGGGATCATGCGACAAGGGGAAGTAACACCTCCCTCATCATCCTGACCCTGAGTAACCTAGCCATCACAAGCAGGAACCTTATGGAAGAGCCAGTGTCCCTACACAGCTCCTGAAAACATCTCAAGGGTTGCAGAGAAAAGGGCAATATATTAAAAAAAAATTCTGAAGCATGCAGACATTCACATTCACAAACAACTAGCAACTGGCTAAAGACCAGAATAAAGATAAGAAGGCAGTAAAGAAACAATATGTCCTTTCTTAGCCTTTGAACCCAGAGCACAGCTTCTGGATTGGGAAGAGTAGTGATAATTGCTCATATCATTCTCAAAGGATCAGAAGGAGATGTAAGGTTAGCAAAGTAGGTCTAGTGCTTCCCATGTTTTTCCAACCATGGTAGTGCCTTTCACAACACATAGAAAAGTGGGAATGGGCCTGAGTGTCCATGCTACTATGAACATGCCAAGAAGATGGGCAATCTGGGGCAAGTAGGGGCAGCACGGAATGGCATGTTATATTTACAGGGAGACACTGAGACTGAGGTAGAATAAGTTTTTAGTAATTATTTATTGTGTCCACCACTTTATTTCAGTGACTTGGACTGGTTCCAAGTCATTGAAATAAAGCATAAGCCTCCCTAAAACTACTACAAAACAAGAAAAAAGAGGGGAAAACAGTTATGGAGGGCTAGTGAAAGATGTAGGCTGCCAAGAAACCTCAGATATTTACCTGGAAAGTCTGGACTGTCTGGAAGATAGTATTCAGTGAACTCTATATGAATAGCTGAGGTCTGGTCTGGAAGGTTCAGGGATTTCTTCCTACATGACAGCAGTGTTGAAGGTTTCTTACTGTGCTGTCCAGCTGTAGAAACCTGAAAACCAATAAATTGCGAGTAGCACTAAAAGTAAGAAAAATGATTGTCCAAATAAGGTGGAAGGTTCTAATTCTGTTTGTTTCTATGGTACTGATGCACTAATTCTGCCTAGGAGCTAGAAGAAGAAGAATCTAATCAAAAAGGCAGATAAAAGGGGAAGGGACCTTGATGGTTATCATTGTGTTACTGCTATCTCTGATTCTTACATGGCAGAACAATCATTTATCTAATTCCATGGGGGGGGGCCTCTTTGTGAAATATTTAACATAAAGTGCAGAAACTTGAAATGAAAAACATTCAAGAAAAGGTCTGTTTTAACTCATAAAATAACATTTCCACTAAGATTACTTAAGATCAACTTTAGACTAATATGACAAATAAAACACATTTTAGGCATTTGTACTTTTGAAAAGCAGAAATGAATGAGCAGCTATTTATGCTTTTGCTTACAAGACAGAAGGAATGAACAAGTATCAGTGTACAAATAAGTACCATGTAAGCAACAAGAGAAAGCACATTGCCCATAATAATAAAAGATCATTCCAGGTTTTTGCAAAAATGACAGGATGCAATGATATTCACAGGAGAAGGCAACAGAAATGAGATTTAAAGAATGAGAGCTGTCTGCATGGCAGTCACTTCTACCAGTACTTTTTAGAACTTTACCTGATGAATATCCAAATCATCGACTCGGACAACCAGACAGCTTGACCTAAGTCTATTCCATGCAGCCTTCCGCAATCCAAACAGCAAAGGAGGTGGTGTGCTTGCCAAAGGCATCCCTTTCTCTGGGGAGCTTTTTTGAGAACTGGAAGTGTCTTAAACAAAATTTTAAACATCAGAATAGACAAATACCTATCTTTCAGCAAACACTCATGTGATAGCACTCTATCTTTCTCTCCCTCATACACCTTTCTATACTGATTTGGAACAATGGATTCTAAGAGGATAAAACTGCACAGAAGTACTGTGGTACTCTGTTGTTTTGGAACCCCACTTCCTGCTCCAGAAACATGGGGACAGACTGAGAAAACTCAACAGCTTGGCTTATTGTCCAGCTATTATTCGTGGTGGCCACTGATCTTTTCCTCTCAGAACGAGACCAGCTGTGCAGCCAGAGGTGGTTAGTGAATTAAGATAGGAATCAATATGTATATGGTGCAGCGAGGTGTTTAAAAGTGTTTGCTCTAGTGAGGTGGGAAGGATACCACCTGGGCATAAACACAGTATTCATACAGGGAATGTGCAACAGTATACTCTCTGCCCTTCAGTTCCAGGACCTACGGAACAGTAGGTATTACCTCCCTAATAATTCAAAAACAAAACAAACCAGAATAAAAAACAAAATGGTAAGTTATACACTCGTTTATTTTGTGGTTGTAATCCACCATAAAATACCTGATTCTTCCCTTCATGATGTGAGAGAAGTCAAACCAAGCCTTTTCTGCTTTTGCATGCCTGGAATTTTGGCAGATTTAATTTTCCCATTCACAGAGTTTGCTAATTATACAAATATATAGTCAAAGAGTGGAAGTGGATTTCTCACACAGTTAGCTGCTTTCTTATACAGTACTGTACTTACTCCCTGTGTGTCAACTTTTCTTTCCTCTGAAAACTGCCTATTTACCAAGTACAAAGTTAGGCCAGCAGGGAGATATATGCCATTCAAGAATTGTTCCTCTGCTTCACCTAGTGAAGTCTGAGTACATGGCTCTCTTGCACTCCCATTTAGTGGAAGACTTGGCTGATGTGATGACAGGCAGCCAGTGGACTTAGCTAAAGCACGGCTGACTCTGCACACTTGAAAAACGAGGAGATGGTATTAGTGGCAACAGCAACTAAACAATTTCCCAGGAGACAGTACAATAGCAACATATAGGTTCCTAGCTTTTTCCAAGATCAGACACATGGGTTATAATCTAGTAGTAAGTCATGGCTAGAGTAGTCCCATTAAATCAGTGGAGCTTACAGAGCAGTTTTCTCAATAAATCTCTACTGATTCAATGGACCTAGTTTAGTTGAGACTTACTACTGGATTTCAGCCATTAAGTAAATTGGTGAGGTGTCCTTCATGGACACAGCAGCTTAACACAAATACTGAACTAAAAAGAGGAGCAGGAAGTTTTCAGGGTGATGAAAGCAACAGCAGTATAACCTTGGAAATTTACAAACTCACACTGGCACTAGCTTTGCCTAATATTGGTCTAGCCCAGTGGTTCTTAACCTTTGTTACTCAGATGTTTTTGAACTGCAACTCCCAGAAACCCCAGCCAGCAGAGCTGATGGTGAAGGCTTCTGGGAGTTGCAGTGCAAAAACATCTGAATAACAAAGGTTAAGAACCAGTGGTCTAGCCTTCTGCTGCATAGTGCCCTTAACCTGGATGGTTACAGTAGAAGGAGGGAAGAGTGCTGTTGATATGCTTGATCTGATAAGTGAACTTCTGGAGTCCCAGCTCACCTTCCCATCTAACTACAGCTGCCGACATGCAAATGCACAATATAAGAGATTCACATGGTGATATTCAGCATTGCTTCCTCGGACTGATTGAGATATCTCACACACACACACCTGGTTTGGAACTCTCCCCATATATATATATATATGGGGAGAGTTCCAAACCAGGTGTGTGTGTGTGTCCCTGGCTTGGGACTCTCAACTTTATATAAATGCATGCATTTATACTAAGCACATTAGCCATGATGAAATATATTAGACAGAATATCAGACAGAATATCAAACACTTACTGAGCTTCTTTATATTCTCCTTATCTTTCTTTGGTCTATATCAGCTCCAAAACTAACTGAAAGTGTTCGAAAGTGCAGGCACTGGGAGAGGAGGCATTTCTACACAGCTGTGCAGGGTGGTGAGATAACCAGCCCAGCAGTGTTATCATAATAAAGGGAGAAAGTCTATTTCTTCGTTTAACCCATGAGGTACTAGGGTGTTCAATTTCAGGAGCCGGTCAATTTCCCTTTTTAGTGAAGTTCCTAGGAACTCTGTCTACGGCCCAGAACACCAGATCTTTTATGGTATGGTTCATTTCTGTAAAATGGCCAAGTAGAGGACTGCCTAGTCATTTATTTCTCACTTTCGAACACTTTCAATTAGTTTTGGAGCTGATATAGACCAAAGAAAGGTGCAGAGAGTATAAAGAAGCTTGGCAAGTGTTTGATATTCTGTCTAATATATTTCATCATGCCTAATGTGCTTAGTATAAATGCATGCATTTATATAAAGTTGAGAGTCACAAGCCAGGTGCGTGTGTGTGTGTGTGTGTGTGTGTGTGTGTGTGTGTGTGTGTGTGTGTGTGTGTGTGTGTGTGTGTGTGTGTGTGCGTGCGTGCGTGCGTGCGTGCGTGCGTGTGTTCAAAAGTGAGAAATGTGTGTGTGTTCGAAAGTGAGAAATGCGTTGAGCCAGAGCTTTTTAATGACTCATTTAAAGAAATACTGAATAAAGAGCTTGTTCTACTTCCTACATCCTGAGACTTCATCTCTCATTTATAAAACACACACACACACACACACACAGACACACACAGACACAGACACAGACACAGACACAGACACAGACACAGACACAGACACAGACACAGACACAGACACAGACACAGACACAGACACAGACACAGACACAGACACAGACACAGACACAGACACAGACACACACACACACACACACACAGAGCAAACTAGGTGCTCATTTTACTAACCACTGAAGGATGGAAAGCTGAGTCAACCTTAAGCTGGCCATGAGCACAGTCTTGACTGCAGTACTGCAATTTAACCACGGTGCCACAAGGCTCCTGTATATTCCACACTCCCTTGTGTGTTACCTGGTGTCTTTTTGAAGGGAGATTCCCTTCCTACATTTTTGGAAGAAGCAGAGCTAATTTCTTCATCCTGGTTTCTCATCTTGCTTTGGAATTCTTCTACCAGCTTTTTTGCCCACTCTTCTCGGGTCTCCATGGCATTACAGTACTGTACCCAGTGTTTACAGCTGTCTCCTGCATAAAACAACAGCTTTATAGCAACAAGACCATTCTTTCTCAATCATTCTCTGAGCTACTTGTAAGTGAACCATTCCTTAACTGTCATTTAGTTTGGAACACCTTTCTCAAACAAGCAAGCTAAATATTATTTTCCTTATTAACTGCACAGTTCAAGGTAGATAGGAGAGTTTGTTTGCACAAGATATTCTCCCTTCAGTACTGCCCATCTCATAGCTGAACAAAGTTTGTCATTTGAGCTTCAATATATTCCAAGGAATTTCTCTTATTTCTGCTTATGACTGCATCTTAGAGAATTGTGCACAATACATGTACCAACTGATTGTGCTAAGTCTTTTAGACTCCTGTTGCACAAATGTTATGCAGCTTGACTGCTAGGGAGGCAATATATTCTGTTCATTGGTACAGTATTACCTCGGTTTGTGAAACGGATCCATTCTACGCGGCGTTACATGGTACAGAAATTTCGCAAACTGAAATGCCAATTGCGCAACAAAAGGGGCAGTGCTATAGGCGCAACGAGCCCTGGGAAAACCCTTTTGTAGTGTGAAAAAAAGAGAAAACAACATAAACCAGGGCTTCATTTCTTATGGATTTCAGTTTGTAAACTAAAAATTATGTAAACTGAGGCGTTCGCAAACCAAGGTACTACTGAATTATGATGGCTATGTGGAATATTGTTTTATAATTGTCAGAACTATCTAGTGGTTACTGTTGCCCAAAATAAGTTCTTTTAGATGTTAACTTTATGAATAACCTTGGTTTCTGCAACTGACAATACATACAAATTTTACTTTAAAAATACATCAAACACAAGATGACCTTTCCCACTTATTGTGTTTGTGCACCATCCAGTCCACTTGCTGGGAACAAACAACCATTGGTACTACATTATAGCTTACTAGAATACTTCAGTACAAATGAAATTAAGCTGAATTAAATGTTCCTTAACCACTAAAACTAGTGTTACTAACTCTGCTTCAGATGAGACACAACAGTCAATGATTATTGCATAATTTTGCACTTGCATATCCCAGATGGGGCATTAGAAATATGTAATTTATACTCATGGAAAATTTCCTATCCCTCTTCCTCTCAGGTTACAATACTCCCTTGAGCTCCCTTTTGCCATAGGGAAGCCTTTGGGAGCCTCAGGACTGGGGCGGGGAAGCCTTTAATACAAAAAATAAACAAATAAAAATATAAATTGCCCACCAGATCACAGCCACTGGGAACAGGACCACGAGGAGCAATTTATTATTAAATGTTTCCCTCCCGCTGGTCCCAGAGCTCCAAAGGTTTCCATAAGGCAAAAAGGAGCCCTAGGGAGCATCAGAACCTGAAGGGGGACGGGTGGGGAGCAGACAGGAAACTTCCCATGAGCTTCAACTAAATGTTTCTGGCATCCAGTCTGAGTCACGCTGCAGCAAATTTATGCCAACAAGACTTTGCCCAATGTCTGCTTCACAGATGAGATACAACATGTCCTTACCTGCCCAGTGGAAAGGATAATAGTCAAAGGCCATCCTCCTAAATGTTAATTGCATTGCACCTCCTGTTATTCCATGCTTGGAAGCACCTATGGTAAAATGGAATAAAGCATTTCAGAATAGGATTACAACTTAACTTAGTTTATATGAAGAACATTGTATGAACAAACAGGCTGAGTGGAGGAAAACATTCCCCTGTGATGTTTGCCTTTCCTTCAATCAAAGCCCAGATGAGAGTAGTGATCACCTCCACAATGAGTGGTCAGCAGTGTGGGCGGTGAGGAAGGGATGGCTGGGCTCCTGCCAGGATTGGTGCAATGACTACGGAGCCAAGCACCGTGCAGAGCCCTGTAAGTGGCCCGGCGGCTTCTTGGGGGCAGTACTGGGCCACCACAGCACCATATCTGTTTCTCCACGGAAACAAATAGAACGTGTCCATGTCTATTCTTGGTATTAAAGCTGAGCTGTTTAATTTTTCTCAGTGTTGAAAGCTAAAAACATGGGCAATGTTGCCCACCACAAGCAATCCATCAACTGTTTTTAAAATTTGTATCCACCTTCTGGATTTGACTTAGCCAAAGCAGCTCACCAAACACCTAAGGAGTTGCAAGTGTTCACAATTATTGTTGCAATTATTGTTCACAATTATTGTTGCAAGTGTTCACAATTTAAAAATCCCAATCCTCCTGTGGGGGAGGAAGTAGAAAGAGAATACATCAAATAATAGAACTTTTTAAATTCTAAAATCCAAAACAAAGAAATTCATTGTTCTACATCATATTCTTCCAGTTTCAGCTATTAAGTACCTGTCTCTCTAGTGTGACTGTCATCACAGATATGCAGATCCAGACGGGAGATAAGAAGGTGGTAGGAAGACTCTTTCATATCATGTTTCTCAAAATACTGGCTGATTGCTTTGTGGCTGCTCCCAAATGACTGGGGCCAGGATTGCTGTGCACTGGGAGCAGGAGGTGTGATCTATAAAACAGAGAAATTAAATCTGCATGTGTCCATAAAGAATCAAAGGAATGGAATGGATATATTTTATGAGGCAGGAGAACACAGACTGCACTAAAAAGCCCTAAACTTGCTCTGCAAAGGAAGGCATTAGATATAGGGGGGGGAATTAAAAGACTTCGAAAAACAATAGACTGTAATATTCAAACCCAAAAATGACTGAATCAACAAGAGAACATAGCAGAAACATAAAGATCTTGGAGTAACTGTTTCCATGTTGTCAACATATATCTGCGTTAATCTACGAGAGTTAAAATAGAGTTCCTGTGATTTGCCACTTTGGCAGGAAGTTGTTCTAGTGGTCCTCTGTGAATTCACACAATTGGGTTGTTCTGCGCCTGCGCAGGACCTCTCGGAAGTTTCTAAAGCTTAAAGACAAGTGATTAGCGGGACGTTCCCCCATGAAGAGCATGCTCCGTCCGCCAGAAGTCCCCTCAGTTCCCAAAAGAGTCCGCCGCTGTCAAAGAGCTATATAAGAAGACAACATGACAGACAGAGGGGAGGCAGGGCAGGATGTGTGGATTCACAGAGGACCACTAGAAGAACCATTGTTACAGGTAACCGCTCTTTCTTCTTCGTGGCCTCTGTGAATGCACACAATTGGGTGACTGGCAAGCTCACTTACCAGATGGTGGGAAGTCACAGTAGAAAGGATGTCAAGACAGCTCTGCTAAAAGCAGCATCCTTCTTTGGCCAGACATCCAAACAGTAATGTGTCACAAACATTGACGGATTGCACCATGTAGCTGCATGGCAGATGCGAGGAATTTCTATTCCTCGTTGGAGGACAGTGGAGGTAGACAGTGGCCTAGTCGGGTGAGCCTTCAAGGATTCAGGTGGTGTCTTGCCTGCCAATTCCTATGCCAGTGAAATTGTTTGGACAATCCACCTAGTCAACGTTTGGGGCAAAGCTGGTGAACCTTTATTAGGGTCATGAAACATAGGAAGAGCCTTGATGCTTTCCTAAACAATTTGATTCTGTCAATGTAAAAAGCAAAGGAACATCTAACATCAAGCATGTGGATCATGTGATCGAGAGGTGTAGAGGGAGATGAAAACAGTGTAGGCAGTATTATCAGTTGGTTGAGATGAAAATCAAGATACAACCTTAGGTAAAAATGAAACATCTGGGTATAGAGTGACCTTGTCCGGATGGAACTGCAGAAAAGGTGGCTCTGATCTAAGAGCTGCCAGTTTGCTAGCACATTTAGCCAACGATATCGCTACTAAGAATGATGTCTTCAAGGAAAGCAGTTTGAGGTTAGTGGTAGCCATTGGTTCAAAGGGAGGTCGGGTCAGTGCATTGAGGACAAGTTGTAACGACCATTGGGGAAGAGGAGGCTGGCATGGAGGATGGATAACACAAAGTTCTTTAAAGAATTTTTTCAAAGTCGAATGGGAGAAAAGTCTAGCTGTCTCCAAATGAGATGGTTGGTGCACGATTGGACCATCATAGCAATATAAACCTTCAAAGTCAATCCAAGATGAAAAAGATGGAGTATAAAGGTAAGTAGAATCTTTAGTGAAACTGGTACCACAGGTAAGTTTTTAGAGGAATGCTCTCCATTTATGTTGGTAAAGGATCTTGGAGATCGATGACAACAAACCAGTCTCCCTGTGAAAGGAAAGGAATGATAGTGTTGAGTGTCAGCATTCTGAAACATCTAGGTTGAATGAATTTATTGAGGTTTCTAACATCAAGGATGGGATGGAGTCTTTCGGTAAAGTGAAGTGTCTGGAGTAGGAACCATCATGCAGGGCAGAGAAGGGGACGAAGAGTATGGCTTGTTTTTGGAGAAGAAGGGAAATTTATTCTTGAAGTGCCAATGAGTAAGGAGTAGTTTTAATTACAGTGAAAGGTGGAGCATGCTGTAATTCGATGAAATAACCCTTTTCAAAAATTGAAAGGACCCATTGGTCATTGGTGATTCGACACCATGCACCGAGGAAAGGGTGTAACCTGGTTTGAAACAGAGTGGAAATAGTGGTAGGGGGTGAAAGGGGTCTATAGATATTGCTTACCCTTCTTCTGTTGGTGTCGAAAAGGTTGTTGACATGGTTGTTGTTCCTGGTGTTGAAAGACTGGTGCAGTAGATGTTGACAGGCTGGAATAAGGTCTATCCTGCATTTGTGGCTTGTATGTACGGTATGGTTGGTGGAATGGCTGAAATGGCTGTTGGACAAAGTACTGTCTATGGTACTGGGGGCACTGGTATCGAAATGTTTGTTGGGTGGAATATGACTGAGCTGTTTTCCAAATTTTAGGAAGGTTGTCCATTACTTCATCTGTTTTTGTTGAAAAGGCCAGTGCCATCAAATGGGAGGTCTTCAATTCTCGATCTGGAGTCATCTGATATGCCAGCCAACCTGAGCCAGGCATGGCGTCTAAGGGCAATAGATGTGGCCATTGCCTTAGAAGCGGCATCAGCAGGGTGGCGGGAGGCAATTCTTTGCTGTTTGGCCAGTGTAGAAGCTTCAGCATGAATATTTAGGGCTTCAGTCTTAGAAGACTCAGGAGCCACTTGAATAACGGGGAGGATCTTGTTCCATAGTAGTCTATGGTAAGCTCCCATGGCGGCTTGACAGCTGGCAAATCTCATAAGAAATGAAGTGAGGGAGTAAAGACATCTGCCTAGAATGTCTAACTTTCTTCCTTCCCAGTTGGTAGGTGCAACTGATGATTTGTTGTGAGCTCTGGATTGATCGGATTCCACAATGTAATTGAATTTGGTGTCAGATATTTGGATAAAAAGGCATTGTCCAGACCATGGGTTTTATAATGGTTTCCCACATGTCTTGAAATTTGTAATGATGAAGGGGGTTTCTCCCATGATTCTTTAATCAAATCTAGCATAGCGGGTATCAAGGTAAGGCTAAGCGGAGGTGTCTCCTCTTGATTAATATAATAAAAAACTATCATGGGTTGATATGGATGATTCAGAGGATGGAGATTGATGTTGAGAATTAGATGTGGAGAATTGTGTCGAAGAAGGCAGTTGTGAAGCAGGAGGTACTTGGGTTGTAGAGTACCTTTCCATATCAGGAGGAGGAGCAGGAGGACCCTTATAGTTTGTCGTAACCTGCAGAGATGTGTGTTGAGGGGGAGGGTGTTTAGAAGAATGCTTGGAACACTTTGACTGTGGTTGTTCCAGTGGTGAGGTAGTGCACTTGGGGGCCGGTTTAATAGCAAGCAGGATCTGGTGAATCAATGTGGAGTGCAACAAGTGGGAATGGTGTTGGTGTCAAGGTGGTGATGTAGACACAGAAGGTGAGTACTGAGGTGGATACGGCAAAGCATATCAAACTCTCTTGGGTTCAGTGATGTAAATTTGTTCTGGTAAATCTTCAGGGAAATATGGTAGCATCGATCTCTGAGATCTTCTCATGGTTGATATCAAGAAGATTCTGGGTAGTAATAGTAATCTCTGTGTGGAGGGTCATACTGCACTGGGGACAAGTGTCATCTCGTTGCTCAATGTTTTTGAAGGGAGTGGTGAGACGAGTCTGAGTCCGAGATTTGAATCGGGATTGCCTGCCCTGATGATGCAGGGCTCAAATGGGCCAAGGCCTGGCTAGAGTGAACGTCAGCCGGAGATAGGCCAATACTTTGCGACAAGCTACCAGTGGAAGATGGAGCCTGGGCCACAGGCAGAGGTGGGTCATCTCTGTCTGACATCGAACCCGAGGCATCTCTAGACCTTTCCTCCAATATTGGGGATGGAAGTGTTGATTGGGGTGGTCAAATCTGTGTGGATTTTGATGATTTCTTAGACCTTTTTGAAGTAGTTTTATCTTTTTTCTTTTTAGATGATTCAGTTGATCAAGCCAGGGTCCTTGATGTCAATTTCAGTCTCGAGGTAGACTTTGACTTATCCTCTTGGTAAGGAGAAGGAGTAATCAGACTAGAGGCCGGTTGAAGAGGCTCCTGGGGATCAGGTCGATGATCTGGAGGCAGTGCGGGCTCCATAGCAACCGAAGGTGGATTGAGGGATTTCTCCCAAAGGTAAGATCGCAGTCTCTGAAGTCGCAGCTTAAGTGCAGGCTTCGTGAGTGTTTCATACTTAGGGCAGGAGTGTGTTTGGCGCTGTCCCCCGAGACAGAAAATGCAGTGGTCGTGGCCGTCAGTGAGCGGGATCTTGTTATTACAAAGTACGTACCACTTGAAAGGCCGGGGGGGGGGAATAAAAGACAAGGGAGAAAATTGGAGGGAAGATGAGGGGGATCAGCAAAACGGGGGAAAGAGAAAAAAATCAATTGAATTAAAGGTAGAACAAATCAATTTAGAGGGGAACCATCCAACAAAAGAGATGATCAAAATAACAGAAGAACCAAAATACCGATCGCAGTGAACCCTCAATCGCTCTAGCTCTCTCCGAAATAGGTCTAACCTAAGTGGTGGCTAAAAGGAAATGAGGGGACTTCTGGGAGGCGGAGCATGCACTCCACGGGGAACGTCCCACTAATCACTTGTCTTTAAGCTCTAGAAACTTCTGATAGGTTCTGCACAGTTGTAGAACAGCCCAATTGTGTGCATTCACAGAGGCCACGAGGAAGAAACAGGTGATAATGCTGTTCCTCTCTTATGCAAAAACTTGCACAAACATCTGTGCATATGATTAGAATGACACTATGGGAAATAAAGCACATAATACTAATAGTCAAATGTATATACCAAATTAGCAATAATTTAACAGGAATTTAAAGGGTAGTTTGTATAACTTAAATCAGTGGTTCTTAACCTTGGGTTACTCTGGTGTTTTTGGACTGCAACTCCCAGAAGCCTTCACCACCAGCTGTGCTGGCTGGGGTTTCTGGGAGTTGCAGTTCAAAAACACCTGAGTAACCCAAGGTTAAGAACCACTGACTTAAATTGTGATTTAAACACAAAGACAAAACCTGAAATTATACAGGCAACAGCAAGCACTAAAACAATGGAAGGGTAACATCTATTTTACATGGGAAATTATTTGTGAGGGAAAATGTAAATAATGCGGTCGACAGGTCTGCAATCCAAGAAACACAGACAATATAGAATCCAACATAAAATTCTTCCCTGATTTTGCTCAGTTGCAATTGCTGACTATCACAGCAGGCATGTTTGCCAGAGCAGCTCACCTGGACAGGTTCAGGAGCCATACTCTTCCTTTGCTGGGCTGATTTCTCCATAGCTTCACTCAAGGATTCTGCATACTTCATCATTGCCTTCAGTTGAGAGTCAGTCAGCACCCACAACAAGTCATCAAGGAGGAACATCAGTTTGGAGGCCACCACATTGCAGTCCTTTGTCTGTCTCATAAACAAACACAGAAAGTTTAACAAAAACAAATGGTCCAAAGGCAATTATTTAACTGCTGTTGGGAATCATAGATACAATTAAATAGATTCCTTGGGACAACATGCACAAACAGAACTGCAACATCTAGGTATTTGATGGGAAGTACATTTTTTAAATAGATTCCTTGGGACAACATGCACAAACAGAACTGCAACATCTAGCTATTTGATGGGAATTACATTTTTCCAATGAGCTCAGAGCTCATCATCTATGGAAAGGCACCAGCAAAACTGAATTATTAAATGCTTTGTAAGATGGTCTTGTTGCAGTGTGGTTTCCACCTTGGATCTTCTGCTTCTACTCACCTAAAACTCATGTTAATGTTCTACAAATCCAACCACTGACTCTCAAACCCCAAGTTTGGATGTGTATTATGCCATATGGACATTGAGACGCCCCAAAACACACAATTGTAAGAAGAGAATTTTTTAAAAAAAATCAAGCCAATTATGAATTAATTATTCCAGCTAAAGATGGTAAGAGAACCAGTGTAGTGTAGTAGATACATTATTGCAATAGGATTCAGAAGACATATTCAGAAGGCATATTCATTCTCACTCACTGTGAGGCTGTGAAAATGGCAAACAACTCCTTAAACATCTCACATGCCTTGGAAGCCGTACTAAAGTTGCCATACATACAAACAGACTTGACAACACATCACCCACAAACACACACACACACACAGAGTAGACTTGTGCGTGCAAAATTATTTCATAAGCAAAAAATCCCCCCCCCTTTTTCAGTAGAAGGCTACAGTATATTATTTGGTTTCTGAGACAAGCATATTAAGAATTCTATTCAAAAACATTGTCTCCAAGATAATAAATATATACCTTTCTCTTAAGAGATATTTGGATTCTGCCCTGGTTAGTAATAAGTCTTAGGGGAGTGGTGACAGGATCTTGATCTCCATTTTCTGTAGCATCTGCCTCTATCCGAAGAGTCTGCCAGGTGAGTTCTTTAAATGTAAGAACCTGCATTGAGGAGGGAAGAGGAGGAATAAAGATCCCCCCAAATAATAATAAATAATAAGGGAGAGAGGGAGGGAGAAAAGAAAAAAAAAGATCCTTAGTTCTAAAGCTGTATAAAAAGTATTCAGATTTTTCTGAAATAGGAAGGTATGTTGCATGTTTCAATTCTAAAAGGAAAAAAAGCAGACATCCACCTCACAGCCATCTTAGCCACCTAGAGTGGTCGTAATGACCAGATAGGTGGGATATAAATTAAATGAATAAATAAATAAATCTTATTTCAAAATGATATGTGGTTACGTATCAGCATTAGAGCACTGATTCAGTCCCACATCAGTCACTGCCAAAGATATTGTGGAGGGTGCGGCAGTCAAGGATGTCACACCATAACTCCACAAAAATGTAGAGAGTATTTAGTCAAGATGCCAAATCTACACATTCTTGCAAGACAACAGAATAGGTCCTAATTTGGAGATCATCTTACCTCTCCTCTGTGTGAATCGGTGATACGGGTGAAGCGCAAGTCACTTTGCTGCCAGTTGGGATTGACACTGTATCCTTGTAGCTGCCATAGTTCAAAAGAAGCATGGAAGGCCTTGGAGTGGATCTTGATGGTGATTGAATTGACAACAATAAACATGCCCTCTACTACTTTCTCAGCAAAGCCATATTCACTGTGGGGAGGTGGGGACAGCTTTTAATACAGCAGAAAGCTTTAGCTCATTACAATACATAACACTGTTCTGTGGTAGGTTACATTAAGCATCACAGACCAGGCATTAAACCCAGAGTTGAAAATTAGAGGTAAACCAAAAGGTTATCATTCCAGTCCTGCTGAAGGATCAAATACATATCTAATTTCTCCCCATCCTAAACTTGAGTAATTTAAAATCATGTAGGCTCAGCATATTGGAACCTCTTACTTAATATTAGCTGTGCTTCAAATGTTTTATAGGCAATGACATCTTAAAGAGTAAGAAAGGTAAACAGTTCAAATTTTCTTCTCTCTCTGAAGCAGAATAAAAATCCACTGAACTGAATGTGACACTCAGATGCTACAAGTGATATAATAAAACCTAACAGTTGGAAAGGATCAGGGGGTCAAAATTTGCAATCACAATGTTCAGGGAAGATTGTCTACACTTCATTTATATAAATACTGACTCACATATTCCATAAGAAATCATGTCATCAAGATCAGAAACAAAAAAGGTTCATCACACCCAAAATGCCTGAATATCAAAAAAACTCCAAACAATTATATCACATGAACTAAGAGCTACAAGCTAAAATAGAAGATAAATTATTACGCTAGTTCAATTGGCATGTCTGCTTTGAATACTCAGGTGCTTCCTTTCAATTGCATCTGGAATTCTTCTTCAGGTTAAATTTACTAGAACCAAATAAAATACATAGGGAAAGAACTAGTAGGGCTTTTTTTGCTACTGAAATTGGTTTTGTTTAGCAAACTGAGCGGGGCAATCCTCCTTCCTTCTGCCAACCCTATGTGCCTGAAAAACATACATCAAAAGGCTGGCAAACCCTACAGAATAGATCTTTTGGGGCAGCACAGAAGACTGTAAATCAGAGAGAGCAGAAGAAAAATCCCATCACTCAAGTGTTCAAGAACAACATTAAGTTTAAGCCACTATCTTCCTGAACTGCATGTCCTGATTTGGTGAGTCAATCAAAATAGTCAAAGGGTCAAAAGGAAAGGCCAACTTTCTCAGAGGATCTTCAGAAAGTTTCTTGTGAAGTTTGTTCTCTAGTCTATAGCCACTTTGGGAATCTCAAATCTATCCCCACTCCACTCCCACTGTTTCTAATTAATTATATTCTGGTTTCATCCCAGAATTGATTCTTAATATCAATGAATGTTATGGCTGTCCTACTTTGGGCACATCATGCAAAGGCAGGATTCTCTGGAAAAAGGCAATAACACTGGGAAAACTGGAAGGTAGTAGGCACAATGTATGAAGACCAAATGTGAGATGAACTCCTTCCCTAAAGGAAGCCACAGGTTTGAATGTGCAAAAGCTGAGCAAGGCTGCTCAGGACAGGACATTTTGGAGGTCTCTCTTTCATAGGCTTGCCATAAATCAGAAACAACTTCACCATACATAACAACAACTTTTGGCTGTGTCTTTTCTGGCACAAAGCAGGATATAAACTCTTTTCAATTGTGTATCACACATTGTTAAATGTGCATATAGTGCCATATAGCAAATAAATCTTGCCACATCATGAAATCATTCCTTTCAAAGTCACACCCAGCAGAAAAAAAAATGCTAGTACAGCAAATACACCTAACTAATTGTGACCTCTGCCAAGAATACACAAGTATAATTAGAAATTAAAGGGCTGGAACAAATAGGGAAAGTACATTTACCCTCTCTTTCCTTGTTCCCACAAGCCCATTACACATTCAAGTACAATTATAGTATAACCTATTTCCTATGCTATATTTGGATATGGGAACATGTGAAAGTATGCAATTTTTTTATTTTTTTATTTTTTTGGTACTACTAACTGGCTAAAGGACCAAACTTCAGGTGAAACTGAATCACGTAGTTTGCCCATTTTTCTTTGTTTTACAAAATGCAGCCACAAAGGCTGCTATTTTAGACAGAAGTAGAAGGGCTTCTTCATCTTTCCACCACCAGCATTTTGCAGTTTTGAAGCAAAAGAAAAACTCCTACTCTGTCTGCTTTTCTCCGGGGAGGGTGGGGGGAGGAAGATACCCTTAACTTTCCCATGGAGGGGAAAAAAAGTGGTTTGGGTTATTTTTATCAAGAAAACGACTGAAACAGAAACTGTTCAGAAACCTCTCCTTCCCCAAAGCTTCTGTGCAAGTTTCTAGCCCCTGCAGCTGATTTTCTAAAGCAATCTAGTTAGAATTAATAATTAATGTCAATGTAATAAAAATGTAAATGTTAATTAGAAGGGGAGAAATAACAACTAAAATAATATCAATTCAGAAATTCCTGGATAGCTCAGTGATTTAGGCCTCTGGCCGCGGACCCAGAGGTTGGGAGTTCAATTCCCCACGGTGCCTCCTTGACAGGGGCTGGGCTTGATTATCCATAGGGTCCCTTCCAGCTCTGCAGTCCTAAGATCAACTTATCTAGATTGGTCCTAAAAGAGATACTTCTGCTCTTCACTTCTGCATCGTAACAGGAAGACAAAATGACTGTAATTCCACCAAACAAAGCCATGTACAAATGGAGTTCACATTGGTTTTCATACTGAACAGACAAGAAAGATGCCTAGGCCAGTAGGCTCAATGTATGACAGCAGATTAGGCTGCCTTTCAATAAAGTCTCAAGAAGCAAAACATGAAGGGGTAAAATAACTTGCACTACGAAGTCAGACTCAATATCAAACAAATTGGGAAAGCGGATTTTTTTATTTGCACTGGATTTTTAAAGTTTAAATTGGGTTTTAAAGAATCGTTACAATGCTTTGGATTTTTCTTTTAATAAGCCCTACAAGCTGATCGTGTTAATTTAAAATCTCCTATAGCTCAGAAATCTCATTAGAGAATAAGGACTATAAATTCCAATTCTGTATTATGAAACCATGTAAACATATTGTATGTTTATTGCATGTTTATTGTACGTTTAAGTTTTAGAAATAGGGTTCAGCAGTTCTTTGATTGGAGCCTCAATTTTTTAAGGTCGTATAGATTTCATCCCAAAAGAGCCAGCCTGTATGGCTTTGTGCAGACTGCACAGTCCTAGAATGTCCCCAGAATAAGAGAAAAGAAAACCACTTCTGAGTACTCTCTATCTAAAAAACCCTGAAAAGGGTTGCCCTAAGTCCCAAATTGATCTGATGTCATACAATAATAATTTTTAAATAAAGCTTCTGGAGAAATTATTTAGGTTAATATTTCTTTATCTTGCTTACTCATTCTAGACTCAAGGATCCATGGGGTCCTTTGCAGCTCTGCAGTTCTAAGATTATGATGATTATTAATATTATTATTAACTCAGTTTGGACGATATCCTCAGAGTCTAGAAGATATTGCCAGCAACACATACTTCTTAACAGCTGTGTATGGGAGAATTAAGCAGATAAGCAATATTCTCCACCTCTGACTCAAGTTTATTCTTAGAATCCCCTCCCCAATAGAATATAATGCTTGGAATTCACAGAAGCCATTCCTTTCAATAATTTCCCTAAGTGATTCCAATTCCTTTAATGTGGCAAGTTGTCCTTTTGCAAATTCATGTAAACCAAATCAGGCCCTAATTCCCTCTCTGAAAGCACATATATTCAGACACCAAGTGCCAATGAACAGAGAGCAGTACTGGCAATGGAGCAGGTCTGGGTGAAGGAACTGTGAAAAACATGTTTGAAGATTATGGCAAATGATTGCGCACTTTGAAGGCGATGTGGAGGGGGGGGAGATAAGATGAGCAAATCCAGTTCTTCCTGAATAGTGATTCAAACTGGGATCTAAATTATAATTACACCAATTTAAATTAAATCTCCCCTGAGTAATCCCACATACCACAGTGACAAAAATTAATTATATTCAGTATTAACCTTTGTCCTGAAGCGAGGGCAATGGGAGACTGTCCATTGGGTGGCCGGGGCTCTTCACAGGTTCGCATCTCTACTTCAACTTTATCCAAATACTGCAAATGCAGGAAACAAGACAAACATGAAGACGTTAGCACTATCTGAGAAGAAAGCACCCATTACTTATCCCAGGTAAGGATAGCTAAATTTTTAATTCACAAGACTAATTCCCAATCTCCTTGTTCCCTTACAAAGAATTCTTCCTCTGGAGATATTTCAAATTACGGTAGACTTTAAACACAACAGAGCCTCGTGGCGCAGTGGTTAAAACGCTGTACTGCAGCTAAAACTGTGCTCACGACCTGGGGTTCAAATCCCAGGTAGCCGGCTCAAGGTTGACTCAGCCTTCCATCCTTCCGAGGTCGGTAAAATGAGTACCCAGCTTGCTGGGGGGGCAATGTGTAGCCTGTATCATTAAAAAATTGTAAACCGCCCGGAGAGTGCTTGTAGCGCTATGGGGCGGTATATAAGTCCAATAAATAAATAAATAAAAGCAGAAGATGTCAATTCAAGACTTCATGTCCTATATTGCCCCACATGCTCACAGGCATTAATCATTTCAGAATCTAGCAATCAAGAGGATGTAAGCCTCTCTGTGATGCATGCATTTGGGTATGCAGTGCACTGTCTGTCTTATACATTGACAGGTGGAACAAAGCATTCTTGTGGGAGGCTGGCTGCACATTTTGAAAAGGAGGAAAAGGGGAAACTTACATAGGTGTAAGAGAAAGAGTTTTATTGTGCTAAACCCAATTAATTTAAGCTACAAAACCTTTGCTGAGTGGCAACTGTTCTTACACTATTATTGCCTCTTGAGGTGTCCTTCAGACTTTTTCATTTTTACTGCTATTCACCCTTTGATTTTTCTTCTCCCTTTCATTATCCCTCAAAGACTCTACTGGCTATATCTGGAGAGGGGCATATTTCAGAGCCTCTAGCCAGCATCTTGTTCAATGTTTACCTGCATGTAGAGCTTCAAACGTAGAAGCTGCCTTGGTAATCTGTGAGATATCGGTAATTCACAACCAGAAACCCAACAAGCACTTCTTCAGATTGTGGTGACATGCTGAATAAGGTACTGGGCTCTGCATCTTAATTTCATGAAGTAACTCAAGACAGCCATATTACATAATAATTTGGTTCACAGAGATCAACTTCCTGCCATACCCACCACCTTCATGGAATAGTCACACAACTGCAAACTATGGGCTTCTAGTCTCCCATGGATAATTTTGTCTGAGAAATGCTTTTAGAAGTTTGCATTGCAAGCAATGCCAGCCTCAAGTAGAAAATGAAGCTTTTGGTAATTTGCATGCCTCCCCAGAACACCTTTGTTTATAGAACAGCTCTGAATGTGAAATGACCATCAAATACCTCCAGCAGTCTGTGTATTTCAAGCATTGAGAATTAAATCATCTGTCTTTTGACTTCAAAAGAGAGCTTATGTACAGTTAACATTCTTAATATGTCCCTTTTTTATTTGCTGCAAACAAGAGGCTGCAGTCTGACATTATTAAGCAAGCCATTGCTAAGGAATGCAGAAGCAATTGTCCTGGTAAATGAAGATGGTGGTAGCTCATGGCGGTCTCATGAAATACAGACTACCTGAAAACTAGGGCATATTAGCATACTTTGCAAGTAGTTATGTTTCATTTCTGTGAAAGACTCTTGAGATTCCCCTGGACTGCAAGGAGAACAAACCTATCAATTCTGAAGGAAATCAACTCTGAGTGCTCACTGGAAGGACAGACCCTGAAGCTGAGGCTCCAATACTTTGGCCATCTCATGAAAAGAGAAGACCCCCTGGAAAAGACCCTGGTGTTGGGAAAGTGTGAAGGAAAGAGGAGAAGGGGACGACAGAGGACGAGATGGTTGGACAGTGTCATCGAAGCAACCAAGATGAATTTGACACAGCTCCGGGAGGCAGTGGAAGAAGGAGGGCCTAGCGTGCTCTGGTCCATGGGGTCACAAAGAGTCAGACATGACTTAACAACTAAACAAAAAAAATGTTTCATTTCTATCTTTCCACATTCTAATTTTCAACACAGGAATTACAAAGAACCACACCTGTTAAATGAAAAGGTAATGTGGAAAACCGTTCAAAGGCTGAGACCCTTTTGACTGACATGTAGAAAGATGACACACCCTCATGCTTCAGGATTAGAAATAAATACTCTCTTTTAAGAAACAATTCAGAGACATACATTCCAGCTAACAGAGACAAGCAAGGCCATTACCAGACAGATTGGATGAGTCTTCAGCTTTGTCCACTGGATCTGTAACAAGAAAGCTGACGTTAAATAAACAGGAACTGCTGCGAGGGTGAAACAAATATAGGGTCACATTAATAGGATCCATTCCAGCTAACTCGAGCTCTGAAAGTGGCATTGGAAAAGTAGCTTCACAAGAATACAGATTTACTGAGGACAAAATGATCCCTTATCAAAATGCCCTCTGAACTCGTGAAGAGATTTACTAAACAACAAAGACAGCTTTGGATCCTTAAGACTAGCTGATTTATTATTCTATAAGCCTTTATCCCTATTTCATCACAGGCATAAATCCAATAAACAGCTATGTGGGAAACAACAGCTTGCACCTAAATATTATACTCATAGAAACTGAACACACTCCTGATTGTACGTGAAGGTCATCAATCCACCCGTACTTAAGTCCGAAATTTCTCATGCTCCTGAAAGCTGACTCCTTAGAGGGGTGGAGCCCCCCTCCACTCCACTTCTCAATACACTTATCAGTAGAAGTGCTTTCCATTCACAGAATGGGATCTTTGGATCCAAGCCAATTTAATTATTGTACTGAGAACCACTTTGCAATCCTTATTGGAGCCTTTGAAAGCTACTAAGCTTTTAAATGAATGAATATAAAGTTTGCCATTCTAGTCGTCTTTGAAATGGTAGCTAAGTAATGAGACCCTAAGGGTCAGAGATGGAAGCTCCAGAGACAACAATCTCTAGTTGTTTTCTGTCATTTCTGTTTTTTAACATCCAATACATATATCCTTCTGATGCATAAAGTAAGATGGAATTGTTTATTCATTTCACGGCCAAATTTGCTAATGTAGACCCAAGCCTGAATCCTGCTACACATGAGTGATTTTTGCTATTTGTACAAGTTACATAGCCTTGTAGTTGGAATACAGCAAACAATTAACTCTTCTATTTTGTTTGTTGTTTGTTTTAACAAGGGGCATGCTTGCCCTGTTAATTTATCAAAAAGGATATCAACCGCCATGTTAGAAATAAAGGAGGTAAAAAGCATGCAAACACTGAATATCAGAAAGGCAAAATTGGTCATGGCCAACATGGTTTCTCTGTGATTCTATTGAGGGGGAAACAGACACAACTGCTATTACAACTTGCATTTAAAAAAATATATTACAGACATTACTAGCAAATATATTCTAATACACAAACATGGCAAGCAATAACGTCCATGTCAAAAAGCCATTACATAATAAACAGCTGTGAGGATTAAATATAACAGATCTGATAGGGTCTCAACTGTGAGAATATGAAAAAAAAATAGCTATACTTCTTTTATTTAATAATCTCACAGCTATTCTTCACAAGGCTTTTGCCACTATGTCTAATCCTAATGGAGCTTAAACAATTACTCGCTTCCATCAACTGAAAAATCAATTTCTTGCTCCAAAAAGAGCTTGGGGAAAAGTTTTCAAGAAGAGAATGTTGTACTCTGTGTATAAATTTACAATCGTGACTATTAATCTGCAACTGTGATTATTGAGCACAATCCCCATAATTATGCCTTTGAACAGAACAAATTTAGATGTGACATCTAGCAACATACTGGCAACCCATTAAAAATTCAATGCCACCAGATTGCGTGTAATTTCTACAACATCTGGGATTAGGGACTTGATCCTTTTGTGCCACTTACTGCAGGAGATCTCATAGGACATATATAGGAAGATTAGCAAATTGGGTACACTGTCAAGAACAAAAACCAAACTTGTTTAGAATAAGAGTGGGAAAAAAGCTGGGAAATGTTAAAAAAAATGTCCTGAATATACATGAAAACATTTCTTCTTACATTTAAGGGGTTTAAACTCACCCTGATGGAAGCCTTGTTACAAAAGACTCTAGTAATGGCTAGCCAGGTGGGTAAATCCAAGACATTCTGCAGAACTTCTTCATCCAGTTCAAGGTTACTCAGCTGTCCCTGCCCTTTGAGTGTGCTCAGGTTGATTTTATCAGGAGAAAGGTTCTTTGTAAACCTGAGGGAAATAAACATATATAATGGAGAAATGGTTGAAAGCTTAAATGGATCAGTGGACAGTGTGTTGGTTTAAGATCCGGAAACCTAAGGTGTAAATCTCAGTTGCAAACCTGTATGCCAGTTCCAGTTCAGTTCACAAGTAAAAATTCTAACATGAAAAAAATGTTCTCCTACTATCCCTCCTTTGCAGGGTTATGATGGAACATCAGATATTTTGCATTTTTTAAATTGTAATCTTATTTCAGAGCTGCATTTCTCCCAATTATGGGACCCATAATGGCTCACAAATTATAATAAAAAACAATTAAAAACATTTTAAATTATCACAATAAAAACAAATTTAACATGTATCAGTATCAATATAATTACTTGAAACTATTAAAAATACCTTAAAATAGGTTAAAGATACATAAACTAATAATATAAATCACCCCAAATTAAACCACTACTCAGTCAGCTGTTGAAAGCCAATCTAAAAAGTGTGATCTTCACCGGCTGCAGTATGGACAAGAGGGAGGGGGTCCACCTAGCCTCCTGAGCAGGGCATACCACCACCTGGGAGCAGCTGCAGGGGAGGCTCTTTCTCACGCCCCTACCAAACGTACCTGAGAGGGTAGTGGGACTAAGAGAAAGGCCTCCCCAAAGATCTTAACCAAAGCCTTATGTAGGGATATAGTCATTCAGATAGTCTGGATCTAAGCCATGTAAGGCTTTATAGGTCATAACACAAACTTTGAATTGGGTCCAGAAATGGCTCAGCAGGAAAGTCACACGTTCCTTGTAACCAGCCCAGTGAACAGCCTAGATCTAGTAACATTTCAAACCAGCTAAAGTTTCCAAACTGCAGCCAAAAGCAGCCCCATGAAGAAGAGCATGTTACAGTAATCCAAGTAGAATGTAACTAAGACATGTGTCACTTCAGCCAAAACAGACATTTTCAGGAATGGGTGCAGCTGGCACAACAGCTCAAATCATGCAAATGCACTCCTGGTCGCCACTGAGACCTAAGCATCGAGGATCAGGGATGACTCCGGGAGTACACCCAGGTGCAAACCTGAATTGTCAAGAGGGAGTACAATCCCATCCAGCACAAGGTGAATCTTTAACTCCTGATCTGCCTTTTGACTGACCAGGAGCACATCTGTCTTCTCTGGATTAAGTTCCAGTTTGTTTGCTCTCATTCAGTCCATTACCAACAACAGGCACTGGTTCAGAACAGACCGGTTTCCTCAGAGTTAGGTGGAAAGGAAAGAAAGAGTTGGTTGTCTTCCACGTATTAGCGACACTGAGCTCCAAAACTCTGGACAGCCATTCTTAGCAGTTTCATGTATATGTTACATGGCATCAGGATAAAGACGAACCCTGAAGGACACCACAGGGCACTGGAGTTCCCCAACACCACTTTCTGAGATCACCCCACCAGGAAAGACTGTAGCCAATGTAAAGCACTTCCTCCAAACTCCATTCCAGAGAGATGGCCTAGAAAGATACCATGGTCAAAGATACTCATGTGGAAAGCCACCAAAGAAAGCAAAGCTCTTCCTCTCCATACCTGCCACTCTCCACCCAGGGAGTGGCAACAGAAGGGACTGAGAGAGCATTAGAGCTTCATGTCTACACATGGTGAGCATACACAAATACATAAAAATGAGTAATCTTATATGAGAACTAAAAATAATTCTAATATTTAAAAAAACCTGCACAAGCTTTGAGGATAAGTGGATAGTTACTAGAATGGAATGGATGTGTACACAGAGGGAAAAATACAATAAATAAAGATGACCATGTAGCACTATGTGTGTAGGCATCCTTCAGTCTCGAGAGACTATGGTATTGTGCTCTGTATGGAGGTCTTGGAACAGTGTCTCGTGTGGCTGAGAAGGCCAATTCGAGAGTGACAATCTCTTCCACACTGAAGACAAATACAATCTGTCCCCTGTCCAGCTCCCTGGTTTTGTTTGTTTCGGGACTGCCTCTTTGCCTCGGTCTGCTGTACAAGTGTCTCTTCAAATTGGGAGAGGCCATGATGCACCGCCTGCCTCCAGGCTGAACGCTCAGACGTCAAGGTTTCCCATCTGTTCAGGTCCACTCCTAAGGCCTTCAGATCCCTCTTGCAGATATCCTTATATTGCAGCTGTGGTCTCCCTCTGGGGTGATTTCCCTGCACTAATTCTCCATACAGGAGATCTTTTGGAATTCGACCATCAGCCATTCTCACGACGTGCCCAAGCCAACGTAGACGGCGCTGTTTCAATATTGAATACATGCTGAAAATTCCAGCTCGTTCTAGGACTACTCTATTTGGAACTTTGTCCTGCCAGGTGATACCAAAAATGCGTCGGAGACAACGCATATGGAAGGTGTTCAGCTTCCTCTCCTGCCATGCACAAAGGGTCCAGGACTCGCTGCAGTATAGGAGTGTGCTCAGGACACAGGCTCTATAGACCTGGATTTTGGTGTATGCTGTCAACTTCTTATTAAGCCATACTCTCTTTGTGAGTCTAGAGAACATGGTAGCTGCTTTCCCAA